TCCAACGATATATAGTTTGTCATGATTAGATTAGGATTTATTTGTAATATAGAGAAGTAAACTTAGGTGCCCCTCTGAGGGGACGGGTGACAATTAAAAGGTTAAATTATCACCCTAATTAGTTATATATATGACTCTGGGGCACAAAAGCAGTGTTAAGTCGCTGGGGGATATTTGTAGCAATAGCTAACAATACATTGTATGAGTCACAATTATAGATTTTTCTTTTATGCCAAAAATCATTAGGATATTAAGTAAAGATCATGTTCCATGAAGATATTTAGTAAATGTCCTACCGTAAATATATAAAAACTTAATGTTTGATTAGTAATATGCATTGCTAAGAACTTAATTTGGACAACTTTAAAGATGATTTTCTCAATATTTAGATTTTTTTGCACCCTCAGATTCCAGATTTTCAAATAGTTGTATCTCAGCCGAATATTGTCAGCTTTCAGAAGATGTACAACTCTCAATTTCGAAAAATTGAGCCTTATGACTGGTTTTGTGGTCCAGGGTCACATATAAACTTTAAATGTATAATTACTAATATTTACAATTTACTACTAGAATTACAATTTATGAATAATTATATTTGCTTGTATTCTCAAGCACAAGGTATACAAATAATTGTTCTTTTTGCACCCTCAGATTCCAGATTTTCAAATAGTTGTATCTCGGCCAAATATTGTCAGCTTTCAGATGATGTACAACTCTCAATTTCGAAAAATTGACCCTTATGACTGGTTTTGTGGTCCAGGGTCACATATAAACTTTAAATGTATAATTACTAATATTTACAATTTACTACTAGAATTACAATTTATGAATAATTATATTTGCTTGTATTCTCAAGCACAAGGTATACAAATAATTGTTCGGTTTTCTCAAGTGAAAGTTTTCTGAAATTGCAAATATTAAGAGGAACTTTTAAATTGAATTCACCTTCGCATTTTGTGTGCTTTCTCAAGATTCAGACAAAAAAGGAAAACATGTCAGCAAATCTAAAGTGAGCGGAAACGGACCTGATTGTGTCGTATGCAGCTGTCGAGCAGTTTGTCCACTTGTGTGTATTTTCTCGTCTTGATGTACATGTCAGCCAAGAGCAGGCAGGCGCTCTCCAAGTCATCCGCGTTTGTGTCGCTCCACTCCATCCTGCTGAGCCGTTTGAGGACGTTTCTGGCTCTGGGAATCTGCTTCAGCTGAACGAAACCTTGAGCCATCATGAGCAAAGACGCCTCCAGCATCACCTGCAGACAGACAGAGCAATTCACTGATAAACACTTGACGTCAGGCTAGAGTTACATTTCTGTCTTTACAACACAAAATGTATTAGAACTACAACAACAACAAAACTGGTAACACTTTACAATAAGGTTCCATTAGTCCATGAACAAACAATGAACAATACATTCATTACAGTATTTATTAATGAAAATACAGTCGTTCACTGTTAATTCACAGCGCATTAACTAATGTTAACAAGCACAACTGTTGATTCTAATAATGCATTAGTAAATGTTGAAATTAACATTAACTAAGATTAATAAATGCTGTAGAAGTATTGTTCATTCTTAATTCATGTTAACTAAAGTAGTTAACTAAAGAACCTTATTGTAAAGTGTTACCAAAAAACTAATATATATATATATATACACACACACAAGTTATATATTTATAAATATGCACCAAGTACATGTGTAATTTCAAAGGGTTTTAAAAGGCAGTATTATTGTCATAATTTTCATTTAAATTTTAGTTAACATTTTAGCTTTTTTTGTAATTGTTATTATTACTATTATATATTTTATTTGTCCACATATAGTTTTACTTATATATATATATATATATATATACACACATACATACATACACACAAGTTATATATTTATAAATAAGTACATATGTAATTTCAAAGGGTTTTAAAAGGCAGTATTATTGTCATAATTTTCATTTAAATTTTAGTTAACATTTTAGCTTTTTTTCTGTGTTTTTGTAATTATTTTTTATTTATTTATTTCTACAGTTTTTCCTTATTTTTATTGGAAAGGTGAATAATAGAAACAGTTTAATAAACTATTAAAAGTATGTTTCAAGCATCAGTTCAATCAATATTCAATATATATCAATCAAAATCAATATAAATTTTATATATATATATATTTTATAAGTTATTTTTTTTGTATTTTCCGTTTCCATTTTAATTTTAGTTAACATTTTAGCTTTTTTTGTAATTGTTATTATTACTATTATATAATTTATTTGTCCACATATAGTTTTACTATAAAGAGTGTGACATTTTAGCCTCCTATCATATCTACAGTACTTGTAAACATAATTGGTACACCTGAATAAATAAGCTTTCAATTGATGTATGGTTTGTTAGGATAGGACAGTATTTGGCCGAGATACAACTATTTGAATATCTGGAATCTGAGGGTGCAAAAATATCAAAATATTGAGAAAATCACCTTTAAAGTTGTCCAAATGAAGTTCTTAGCCATGCATAAGACTAATCATAAATTAAGTTTTGATATATTTACGGTATGAAATTTACAAACTATCTTCATGGAACATGATCTTTACTTAATGTCCTAATGATTTTTGGCATAAAAGAAAAATCGTTAATTTTGTCCTATACAATGTATTGTTGGCTATTGCTACAAATATACCTGTGCCACTTATGACTGGTTTTGTGCTTCAGGGTAATTTTTCATCAAAATGTAATAACTTTGCTTCTTTTGTCCATGGCATCAGCAGTCTCCCTTATTTTTTTAAACCCTCATTTAGTCACTTTTCATCATCCAATCAATTCTTCGTAATATATTATAAATCAAGTCCTACCATAGTTTTTTTCTTTTCTTTTAATATTCTAGTTCAGCTTAGAAATGCAACATACTGTAGTACAGAATTAAAATGGGCTTCAAAGAACTCTGTAAGTGGAAGAGTAATAAAGATAAAATATTATAGACCCTAAACTTTTGAACAGTAGTACATTTGGATTTTTGTGTAGAGACACAGTATTTATGCACACACACTTGTGCTGTGTGTGTGTGTGTGTGGGGGGCGGCAGATGGTTCGGTCATCAGTCTGTTTAGTATATTAAAACAGACTTTTGTCTAGACATATTCTCTGTCATAAAGGGACCAGAAACTCCATGTCAAAACACACACACTTATCTTATCCGTTCATCATAACGCTTTATAAACTTTATTCTCCTTCAGCTGAACAAACACAAGAAGATGTGAATCAGAAATCTTGAGGTTACAACTTAACTTGTGTGTGTTTGTTTTACAGCAAGCGGTGAAAGAGAACCAGAAACGGAAAGAAGCAGAGGAGAAGATTCGTCGAGCCAAACTGGCACGAGAGAAAGCAGAAAAAGAGAAGGAGGAGAAACAGAAGAGAATGAACGCTGGACAGATTCCCAACATCAATGATGGTAAAGATTCACATTGTGTGTGTGTGTGTGTGTGTGTGTGACACATCCGGACATTTCTTCTCAAAACAATAAGAAAACATAATTTTCAAATATAATTTCTTTCTTTTCTTGGTTTTGAGGTGAAATGTGACCTGGACATGTTCTTGTGAGATTCAGACCAAAAAAAGAAAATAATCTGTCTAGCTCTCCTGTGATCATGCCTCTCTCTTCATGAACAAGGTTTCTCTTTTTCCTCCCCCATCACACCTCTGATTCACTCTCAGCATTTAATGTGGATCATGTGAAGTCATTTGGCCACAGTAGTACATCTAATATAATAAATTAGCTCTCTCTCTCTCTTTGTATATGTGTGTGTGTGTGTCTCTCTCTTTCTTTCTCTTTCTTTCTCTATCTCACACTCTCTTTGTGTGTGTGTGTGTGTATCTCTCTCTTTCTCTTTCTTTCTCTATCTCACACTCTCTTTTTGTATGTATGTGGGTCAAAGACGTTAAGATGTCCGCATCAAAAGAAATTTACAAAAGTGATTTTGTCCATAGAAAGCACATTAAATTTAAGTGTCTACTTTTAAGGTTTTAAAATAGTTTTTGGAGGATAAAATGTCAAAATTTGGTTGAAATAATGTTACATTGTCATTCAGTGTAACACAATATGCTTACAACCTGCTTATTCTGACGTGTACATATTAAAATATATAAAAGAATAAGGAAGCATATTAAATTTTATTGTGTTTTAAATGAGTAAAAAATTCTTACTGACAAATGGGCAAAACCTAGGATCATGGCAAATCCTTTAAAAATAAAAAAATTACAACTAATTAGTATTTGAGGTGAAAGTAATTAAGTCTTTTAATATGTCATAAATTGATTTGTCGTAAGTATGCCTGACGAGATTGTTACACTGAATGACATTTTAGTGGCTCTCTTCTGTAAATCAGGGGAAAATGTATGATATTTATTTTTTGCTCAGAAAAACAAAAACAAAATTGCAATTAAATTAAACCGAAAACTTTTACATTTTTTGGGGGGAAAACATCAACAATTTAAAGCAGTATTACGCTTAATGTTTTTATGCTTAAACCCTTTTTCGTCTTTGACCCACATAGAAACCTCTTTCAGGACACATTTAAAAAATAATAATAAATTGTCCTCTATTAATTAGCCCAGATACCACTAGAAATTACTTTAAGTTTACGAAACAACTCGCTAACAAATTCGATTTTCTCCTCCAATAAATAAATAAATCACAGAATGTTATAAATCTAAACGAAATGTACAAGTCATATTTTACGTCTCTCTCTTACAATAAAAATAAAATGTCATATTTGACCTCTCTCTCTAAAAAAATTAAAATGTAATTACAATTATATATATATATAATATGAAATAAAAAATTGGAACCACTTTTAGGACCATTAAGACGAAAAAAAAATGACTAAAAAATATTTTATTATAATTACTGTTTAATTCTCATTTTCAATTTTTAAAATCTAATTAAGTTAGAGTAACCGTTAGATTAACCAGTTAATTGATTAGTTCAAATTCACGAGAAACAAAATGTCTCTATCAACCTTATTTCTTGCCACAAACTTACAACTACAACCGTTATAATACAAATGATGATATTGTCTGATGGACACTGACCAGAAGTAGAGACCCTTGCAGTAACTATAACCCGCTTCTCTGACCGACAGTGGACTGAACTTTTCACACGCTATAAAAACAGACCGGACGTCATCGAGTTTCCCCATCCTGCGCAGAATGTGCAGAAACTTGGCCATGGCATGAAAGTTGTCTATTGAAAATGGAAACAGAAAATAAATATTTAAATTCAATAAATAGTGTTTGCGTCAGGGTTATTAAAGTTAACTAAAGCTAAAACCATTAAAAAATTACTTGAAATAAAACATGCAAAAGTTACCTAAAAAACGTTAACTTATTTTATTTCAGTAAGTTGCCAAAGCAACATTTCATATTTTTATTTAGTTTATCTATTGTACTATAATAATTAAAATGAAAACTGAAATTTAAATAATTATAAAAACTAAACATACTTAAAAAAAAAAATTTAAATAGATAAAACTTAAAAATTAAAATGGATAGAAATTACAAAAAACAATTCAAAATGTGTATATATATATATATATATACACACACTGTATATAAATATAAAAAATTATATTAGTATCTCAATGATATGTTTGGTGTCATAAACTGATTCCATTCCACCTGGGTTTCGCTCCATAATAATGGCATAAATCTTGACTGCTTCCTCTTTTTGGTTCTTCCAAAATAATGTATCAGCCAACAGCTGAGGATAAAATCAAACAGACGTATTTAGATGAATTTCTTCAAATAACTGCTGAGCATCTCATTTGGGAAATTCGTACTATCAAGGCAGCGGTGTGGTTTTGGTGGAGCTGCAGGATCTTCAGACAAAGTTCCTCACAGTAATCCAGCTTCTGATGCTCGTAGTATAACTGAGCCAGACGAAAGATGACCTGCACAAAACACAGCAGATGTGACAAACCGTTCTCTCTCTTCAAAACATTCACAGAGAGAGCGATTTGAGCTGACTGACCTCCTCGTTGTCCGGGCTGTGATTTAAAGCGTCAGTGTAGTGCTGTTTGGCCTTTACCAGGTTACGTCTGAGGTGAAACTCACGAGCCCAATCACAGCAGATCACCACTAACGACTTCCTCTGATCCTCTAATTCTTCCGGATGCTCGTTTGCAGCCCGGAAAACAACTTTTTGCTGGAGATCGTGCAACTGACAGAAGAGCATTTTCATTTGTATGCACATAGAAAAGCCACAAAAAAAAAGTCAGGCTGTTTTTAAGCGATTGCATTAAATCCACCTTAGTCTTCGAAAGCGACACTAACTTAAAGGAAAAGTTCACCCAAAAATAAAAAACTGCAATCAATCAATCAATAAAAAGTCCTCCAAGATGTAGGCGAGTTTGTTTCTTCATCAGGTTTGTAGAAATGTATAGCATTGCATCAGTGTCTCAGCAATGGATGCTCTGCAGTGAATGGGGGCCGTCAGAATGAGAGTCCAAACAGCTGATAAAAACGTCACAATAATCCACAAGTAATCCACAGCACTCCAGTCCATCAGCTAACATCTAGAGAAGACAAAAGCTGAAACAAATCCATCATTAATATGTGTTTAACAACTAAAATATGAATCCATAATAACGCTTTCTCCAGTGAAAACGTGTTCTGGTCTGAATCAGGAGAGAAATCTGCACAGATCAAGCACCGCTTAAACAGCTCTAAACAAATATGTGGCTGGACTTTGATGTGAGAGACAACAGCAGATGGACATTTTCACTGGAGGAAGTGTTATTATGGATTATGGACTCGTATTTTAGTTAAAAACGTCTTAATGCTGGATGTGTTTCAGCTTTTGTCTTCTCCAGATGTTAGCTGATGAACTGGAGTGGTGTGGATTATTGTGATGTTTTTATCAGCTGTTTGGACTCTCATTCTGACGGCACCCATTCACTGCACAGCATCCATTGCTCACAAACACACTCATTTACATCTTGGATGGCCATTTTTGGGCGAACTATTCCTTTAATGTTCAATGTAACTTTAAAAACAAACCCTTTTCATGACGTCCAGGGTAGACTCATTCCTGGCACGTAGTACTTTTACTAACACTCGTAAAACTGTTACTTCACTCATCATGGTAACCAACGCAGCAGCTGTAAAAGCAGAACAAAAATGACATGCTGAGAACAACAATTCCTGTTTCTCATGGTTCAGATATGTTTGTTTGAATGTCATTCTGTACTAGGTTCATGTTCCAAAGCCTTTTCCAGGACCTGCTGAGCTTTCTCAAATCGTTTCAGTTTAAGCAGCAGTTCGGACAGCTCTACACTCATAAGACAGTCCAGAGTATCCGTCTTCAGAGCCGTCTCATAATAGCTCACAGCCTGAAACATAAGCCATTACAGATGAGAAACAAACAGTTCCTTTAACATGTTCAATTAAACTTGTAGAAGCCACTTGCCGTCTCATATTCATGAGCCTTCACTAAAGCCTGGCCTATTTTCTTGGCTAAAGTATATTTCGGAGCAATTTTCTCTACTTCTCGGTAGATCTTGACAGCTTCCTCGGGCTTTAAGAACAAGATATTTTCATGGTTTAGAAATATATATAGAGAGAGGTTTGGTACGGAGAAGCCACAAATGTCAAAACATTAAATATATACCTGGTGTATCTTCATGAAGGCATCAGCCAGCAAGATCCTTGTATGAGCTCCTGGAAGCTGCTCGCTTATTTCCCTGAAACATTTAAGACAGCAATTAAACTTCCACAACAGCATGCTATAGCCCTCCCCAAAAAACAAAAAAAACCCTATAATAAGTTCTCTTACAGCTTCACTGTACACAGAGTGAATCTTATATTTTACCCATAAATCAAAAGAAATAATAAAATATGATTAATGTAAGTTAATGTTAATTTCATATTTTAAAAACATTGTTAAAACCGTTTAATTGATTTATTATTTATTAGACCTAGGCTAACATGAACTAATATTAGTAAATATGTCTACTGCATACACTAGGGCTGTCAAAATGGCTGAAAAACTAAATTAGAATTTTGTAGTTAAATATTATCAAAATTCGAATTATATTCTAATTTAAAATGCATAATTTCAGTTTGGATGAAGAAAAGCTTTTGGCTTCTCTCCTGAGGCCACAAGAGGGCGCATCAAGCAAAATATTACTAATGCACATTTATTCAAAGCATAAGATAACATGACTATCTGTGGAAAAAAAGTGCATAATGTTTAAAATAATGTTTATAAACTTATAATTAAGTTGCAACAAAACAGCATCATGTATGTATGCATAGTTTAATAGGCTACAAAAGGCCGAAAGCCAATCACAAAACACGAGATGCAGTGAGATGGGAAAAAACCCCGCCATAAAGTCTCGAGATATGTTTTTTTAAAAGTTGAACTTGCATTAATTGTACATGGGTTTCTAAACATGCAGCTCTTTTGTGCGAGATGCGAGTGCAACGCTGATAGATGTCCCTCTAGAAAATGCACAAAATATGCGTTCTGTGTGAACGGCTTGGTTTCAGTTTTGATGCAAACAACATCTTCTCCACATTGATGTTCTCTTTTCCGCAATATTTGTAATTAACAACGCAGCAGCGCCGCATCTAGAGGCTTCAACTGGATAGGTTAACAAAAACATTAAAATGCTACGACACTCACATCGTCATTGCATCCCGTGCGCCACTGATAAGGCAGCCTCCTTAACACACCTAAAATTCGAATGCAACGTTTTCGCATTCGAATATGGATTTTTATTTTAAATTCGACGAATATTTGAAATTCAAATTTTTTTTGACAGCCCTAGCATACACAAAATTAGTAAATAATTTAAATTAATATACTATATAATATAATAAAGCAAATATTTACATCAGGTTTATTTTTGACTTGGACATGACCTATGACCTGTCACACCGAATGTAAGGAAATTTCTCACCTGTAACATGTGATGTAAAGCTTCTCATTGTGTTTCCTCTCCAAGTATATATGTGCCATCTTCTCTCGGGCTTGGATGTAGGTTGACTCAGTAGGCAGGATGTTTTGCAGCATGACTACAGCGGCGTCCACGTCATCTCTCGCTAAAGCCAGATCCACATTAGCAAGCATGAGACGCGTCTCCTCCGGTGTGCCTTTGAAACGCAGAAGGGCGTCCTGCAGAACTCTAGTGGCCTCGTGCTGATGAAAGAGAACGTTTCACAACATACAGCACAAGACCGTAACTCAGTAGATTATGAGGCTAGTTAGTAGAAATGCACAGAAATGAAAATTCTTGGCCGAAGCAGAACAAAATGAAACACCGGACCAGTTTTTCCCCATACATTTTGCCAATTTTTTTCACCATTGCATAAATTAAATAGCTAAAATTAGCTTTTTACTGTTGTCTAGCTATTCAAAGAAAGAAAGAAAAAATAAATTACAAAACAACAATAATTTTAAATTAACAACAACATATTTACTCAACACTGAACATTTTTTAACATTCTAGCAGACACCACACCAATAAAGCACAATTTAACTTAAAATTGATAAGTTAGTAAAATAATATTTCCCTTCTTGAATCAAGCATGTATTTTTTACTGTACAAATAAATGCAGCCTTGCTGAGCAGAAGAGAATTCTTTTAAAACATTAGAACATATTACATATCCCAATTTGAAGTGTTGTAATACATGTATTAATAGAGCTGTTGTAATTATTATTACTGTAAAACTTATTTTATTTTAAGAATGCATAAAAATTTTACTGAGCAGCTGACGAGTAACACTGTTTCAGCGCAGATTTTCCTCGCACTTTGAACCCTGGCTAACGAGCAGATCTCGCTGTCGGTGCTTGTAATGATTTTTGCGTCTTTCTCAGACACTTTTAAATGCTTTCACACTGCAGACATGTTTGCTGCATTAGTGCGCACCACTATTGGATCGCATCACATACAATTTATTCAGTCGTTTTGCTTATTCTAATTTAATTTCGGTTGCATTTGATGCATCCCTATTAGTTAGATTGAATGCTTGTTGAATAATTATTGTGCATTCCTTTAAAATGCTACAGGAGAACAAAAGCACACTGAACCTGTTCTCCGTTGAGTCTCAGTGCCTCTGTGAGCTCCAGGTACACAGACACTCGCTCGCTCGGGGAGATGAAGAACTGCGGCCCCTCTGAGGGCCTGCGGACCCCGGGCATGCTCATGGTGATCTTCAGACACTGGATGGCGTTCTTCAGGTCTCCAGATCTCAGCAGAGCACGAGCTTTGAGCAGATGGAACTGGAATCGATCTCGAACCTGATAAATCACAGACATGAGCTCAAAACACACACACAAATATTTAAATATTGTGAGGTCTAGTTCATTAGTTTGGGGAAATTAATATTTTTATTCAGCAAAGGCTGCATTAAATTGATCAAAAGTTACAGTAAAGGCATTTTTAATGTTACAAAAGATTTCTATTTCAAATAAATGCTGTTCTTTTGAACTTTCTGTTCATCTGTGAATCCTAAAAAAATAAAATGCATCATGGTTTCCACAAAAATATCGAACGGTTTTAAACAATCAAAAATGTTTCTTGAGCAGTAAATCAGCATATTAGAATGATTTCTGAAGATCATGTGACACTGAAGACTGGAGTAATGATGCTGAAAATACAGCTGCGCATCACAGAAATAAATTACAGTTTAACAGATATTCACATAGAATACAGCGGTTTTAAATTCTAATAATATTTCACATTTTTACTGTATTTTTGATCAAATAAATGCAGCCTTAGTGAACAGAAGAGTCTTTTTTCCCCTCCAAAACATTTAAAAGCTTTGCTGAACCCAGACTTTTTAACGCTAACTCAAAACTTCCTCCCCAGTGAAAAACAGAAATGACAGAAACTGCAAAAAATGGCTTGTTCTAAGCTTCTGCCATTAGACAAACTGTACATATTTCCCTATCAATGTCTATTAGATGTTCAAAGAGAAAAAACAAAACTTAAACTAACATTATAAGTCTAATAGAGGCTTTCTGCAAATACTGTGTATTTGACAATTTAAAAAACATTTTTTTAAATGCACCCTTTACTGTTCAGACCTCAAAGCTGACGCTGATAGCAGACTCCAGACAGCTCAGACACCTGCTGTGCTCTCCAGCGCTCAGGTGCAGACGGGCCTGCAGGAGGTGTACCTCCGGGACAGACGGATCTTTCTCTATGCACAGGTTCAAAAAGTGCTGGGCTGTCCTGTGCTCACCTGCAGAAGCATTATGGTAGGGCTGCAAAATTATCGAATTTCTAATCGTAATTACAATTATGGATGCCACAATTACGTAATCGTTCAAAGCGGCAATTAATCGTTTAAAGTCCACTTATGTTATTCTGCATGCTTAAGATATGTTTTTTTCTTCCTACATGTTATCTTAAGGGGTTTTCCATTGTTTTAGTTTTAGTATAACATTATAACACCATTCATATTTGTACTTTTTTATAATTCAAAGAAGAAACCAATCCGATGTTTAGTTCACATCTGAGGCTTAATACTATAGAAAAGCACTAAAGGAGTGTTTTCAGCTTGTTTATTTTCATATAAAAATACGGCATGCAGTTGCATCAAACAATGGTATAAACATCATTCAATGTAAATTGCGATCATCGTAATTAATAAATCACAATTACAATTTCAAGGGAATAATCGACAATTATGATTTTTGTCATAATCGTGCAGCCCTACATGATGGGACAGTTATCAGAGTTTCACAGCAATGGTTAACATCAGCTCAGCTCAAGTCTTTAACTCTGAAACTCACCTAGAAGGAACTTGATGTATGCCATATAATAACAGCTCACCGACATGCCAGGAACAGCTTTGATGACTGTTTCCAAGATCATATTTGAGTGTTTCAGCCAAAATGGTGGAGTTTGTCCAGGAACGAGGGCAAAATCCTGGAAAAGGGTAAAAACAATATTAAAAAAGGTATCTATCTAGTTGGTGACCACTGTTTATTTTGACACGTTATGAAGTCTGTATTACCTGTTTGGACTCCAGGTGCATGCACACTATTTGCAGAAGGAAATTGAGGTCCAGCATCTGCAGGTATTCCACACCATAATTTAACCCACGAAGAGCAGAGAAATGGCGCTCCGTGGCGTCTTTTAGCAGATGCATCACCGTCTCCTCACCTGCGCCCTGCTTCCTGCCCAACAGGGCCTTCAGCAGAGGAACTTCCTGTTAAATCAAACACATTTACATCACTAGTACTAAAAACATACAACAGAGGCGTGTGGTTAATTACTACCCATCTAAACATGTAATAAAGACACTCTAATTCCAATACTAAATGGGTGGCAATATGAAGAGTGAGTCGGACAGCAGAAATAGTCATATTTGAGCTTTTTACCGCTGTATTTCCAAGAGACTCTTGCACTTCGCAGAAGAACGCGAGCTGCTGGGCAGCTTCCTCAAGCTGACCGCACATCAGCTGGCATCTAATAGTGCCTATAAAAATATGGTATATGCATATACCGTAGGAACGATTGGAGTTCAACAAAGATTTTTGACAAGAAAATGAAGCTTATTTTTAGGACTTTTAAGATTTTTTGCATTGCAACAATATTTTAATAACAATTAATAACACATTCTATCAAATTCATATTACAGAAAACTCATTCTTATTACTGTAATACCATAAAGTAAATAATCCAGACCACTGAACTGTATCTATACAAGTATCCATCTGTTTAGTTGTAAATTATACTCAATATTCATTCTCATATGATATAATAAACTTTCAAATGTTTACTCTAATCAGCACAAATAATTGCAGTAAAGTAAATATTTACAACAGGATCAACAAATATTATCATGACCTTATCATACACATCTGGACACAATGCACAATGTTTTAAAATAGTATAATGGTATATAAATACTTCACAATTCAGATCATGCAAAAAATAATAATGCAACATTGCATTGCAACACTGTTTTTTATTCCACAAAAATATCGAACGGTTTTAAACAATCAAAAATGTTTCTTGAGCAGTAAATCAGCATATTAGAATGATTTCTGAAGATCATGTGACACTGAAGACTGGAGTAATGATGCTGAAAATACAGCTGCGCATCACAGAAATAAATTACAGTTTAACAGATATTCACATAGAATACAGCGGTTTTAAATTCTAATAATATTTCACATTTTTACTGTATTTTTGATCAAATAAATGCAGCCTTAGTGAACAGAAGAGTCTTTTTTCCCCTCCAAAACATTTAAAAGCTTTGCTCAACCCAGACTTTTTAACGCTAACTCAAAACTTCCTCCCCAGTGAAAAACAGAAATGACAGAAACTGCAAAAAATGGCTTGTTCTAAGCTTCTGCCATTAGACAAACTGTACATATTTCCCTATCAATGTCTATTAGATGTTCAAAGAGAAAAAACAAAACTTAAACTAACATTATAAGTCTAATAGAGGCTTTCTGCAAATACTGTGTATTTGACAATTTAAAAAACATTTTTTTAAATGCACCCTTTACTGTTCAGACCTCAAAGCTGACGCTGATAGCAGACTCCAGACAGCTCAGACACCTGCTGTGCTCTCCAGCGCTCAGGTGCAGACGGGCCTGCAGGAGGTGTACCTCCGGGACAGACGGATCTTTCTCTATGCACAGGTTCAAAAAGTGCTGGGCTGTCCTGTGCTCACCTGCAGAAGCATTATGGTAGGGCTGCAAAATTATCGAATTTCTAATCGTAATTACAATTATGGATGCCACAATTACGTAATCGTTCAAAGCGGCAATTAATCGTTTAAAGTCCACTTATGTTATTCTGCATGCTTAAGATATGTTTTTTTCTTCCTACATGTTATCTTAAGGGGTTTTCCATTGTTTTAGTTTTAGTATAACATTATAACACCATTCATATTTGTACTTTTTTATAATTCAAAGAAGAAACCAATCCGATGTTTAGTTCACATCTGAGGCTTAATACTATAGAAAAGCACTAAAGGAGTGTTTTCAGCTTGTTTATTTTCATATAAAAATACGGCATGCAGTTGCATCAAACAATGGTATAAACATCATTCAATGTAAATTGCGATCATCGTAATTAATAAATCACAATTACAATTTCAAGGGAATAATCGACAATTATGATTTTTGTCATAATCGTGCAGCCCTACATGATGGGACAGTTATCAGAGTTTCACAGCAATGGTTAACATCAGCTCAGCTCAAGTCTTTAACTCTGAAACTCACCTAGAAGGAACTTGATGTATGCCATATAATAACAGCTCACCGACATGCCAGGAACAGCTTTGATGACTGTTTCCAAGATCATATTTGAGTGTTTCAGCCAAAATGGTGGAGTTTGTCCAGGAACGAGGGCAAAATCCTGGAAAAGGGTAAAAACAATATTAAAAAAGGTATCTATCTAGTTGGTGACCACTGTTTATTTTGACACGTTATGAAGTCTGTATTACCTGTTTGGACTCCAGGTGCATGCACACTATTTGCAGAAGGAAATTGAGGTCCAGCATCTGCAGGTATTCCACACCATAATTTAACCCACGAAGAGCAGAGAAATGGCGCTCCGTGGCGTCTTTTAGCAGATGCATCACCGTCTCCTCACCTGCGCCCTGCTTCCTGCCCAACAGGGCCTTCAGCAGAGGAACTTCCTGTTAAATCAAACACATTTACATCACTAGTACTAAAAACATACAACAGAGGCGTGTGGTTAATTACTACCCATCTAAACATGTAATAAAGACACTCTAATTCCAATACTAAATGGGTGGCAATATGAAGAGTGAGTCGGACAGCAGAAATAGTCATATTTGAGCTTTTTACCGCTGTATTTCCAAGAGACTCTTGCACTTCGCAGAAGAACGCGAGCTGCTGGGCAGCTTCCTCAAGCTGACCGCACATCAGCTGGCATCTAATAGTGCCTATAAAAATATGGTATATGCATATACCGTAGGAACGATTGGAGTTCAACAAAGCTTTTTGACAAGAAAATGAAGCTTATTTTTAGGACTTGCAACAATATTTTAATAACAATTAATAACACATTCTATCAAATTCATATTACAGAAAACTCATTCTTATTACTGTAATACCATAAAGTAAATAATCCAGACCACTGAACTGTATCTATACAAGTATCCATCTGTTTAGTTGTAAATTATACTCAATATTCATTCTCATATGATATAATAAACTTTCAAATGTTTACTCTAATCAGCACAAATAATTGCAGTAAAGAAAATATTTACAACAGGATCAACAAATATTATCATGACCTTATCATACACATCTGGACACAATGCACAATGTTTTAAAATAGTATAATGGTATATAAATACTTCACAATTCAGATCATGCAAAAAATAATAATGCAACATTGCATTGCAACACTGTTTTTTATTATGATAATTTTTTTTCTTTTGATGTTGAGATGAAAATAGTGTTTTTGTACAGTGATGATATTGTTGCTGCCTGGATGTGATTATACTGTACCTACTAATGCGGAGGTGCACTTGGGCTCTGTTTTCAGTGCTGTAGAGTAGCATTTATGGGCGTCCTTATACTTGCTTTGGTGATCGAGCAGATAGCCGAGCTCACAGATGACATCAGACGCCACTGGCGTGCGTGAAGACACTCGACGCACAAACACCGTCAACATCTGCAGGATCTCTGGGTTGTGTCCACACTGCAGTTCGGAAAAATAGTTGGGAGCATTTCAGTGACTTGTGCTTTAGACAGAGACCACTGTTATAATCAGGCAGGATAGATTAGTCTTCCAAAACAGAAATTAATAGCTCAGGAACGTCCCAAGGGCAAGAAGTATCATAGAAACAGACACAAATACTCCCAGTGCGGACCGTGTGTGTTCAGTGCCACAGTCTTAGTAAACAAGCCTGATCTATTTAACCTATTAAAGGACTCAGAAATAAATGTATAAACTGTGGTAAAGGTGTATAAGAGGCTGTTTAGAGTGATTGGCACCAGTCGGCTGATGGCTGCTGTGATCTCCACATGCAGGCTGGGATTGCAGGGCTCAGAGATCTCAACCGCACTCATTAAAGCCTGAAGACGCACTTTCACCTGAAACACAGAATGGAGTAACATTCGTGGGTCAATGACAAAACAGAATGTGTGAGATGAAAGAAAAATGGAAAAAATGTTAACTGTTATAATTTAAAACGTGCCACACTTGTATTGTATTAATGTTGATTTTAAACATTTTTGAAAAATCTTCATTTTTTTTTTTTTGGATGTTGCAAATAAATCCGATTATAGGAACACGTTTTACAAGAAAACACTATTTCAGTCTTTATAATTTTAGGTATCCATTTATTTGTGATTATTTGTGAAATTGTTTCTAAGTAAACCCTATTTACATTTTTTTTTCAGTGTACCATTTCAACATTTTTAAAAAGTAAAAATAAATAAAGTAAAAGTTATTCAAATACAGTGAATATTATATTTCCCCAAGAATTTCAGTCTTTTAATTACAGTTTTTGAGTTTTGAACTCTACAAAAAAATCTCAAAACAACGTTGCATCAAAAATTTGAATTAAAAACAAATCTTAGAAAAGGCATATTTAATTTTCAAGTGTTGATTCAACTTCAAATCAGTGTTATTTTAGTATAATTGAGATGCTATTATATTTTTATTTTGAATCAGTGTTTAGATTTTCCATTTTAACTTTTAACATCTTAGCATTTTTGTATGCATGCGTTTTTTGTCAGTTGTTACTTTTTATTGTCTATATAATTTTTATTATTTTGGTTTTAGTACATCATGTTAAACTAAATTAAAACGACAAATGTCACATCAGCTTTCCTAGTGCTATAATGATTTCAATCAGTCTTAAAAAAGCAGGCAATATGCGTTCAAATAAAAAGGAACAGAATTACCAGCTCCATATTTCCATCTTTAGCCGCAGCGATGACGGTCATCATTTGAAGAGCTTTCAGATCACGTCCGTCTCTCTCCAGAACTCTGCACATTTCAAGCAGAAACACTGAAGAACATCTAAACCTCTCTGTTAAAGGGGTCATATGATGTGATTTCAAGTTGTTCTTTCTCTTTGGAGTGTTACAAGCTGAGTGTGCATAGATAACTGGTCTTCAACGAGCCCAAAAGAGCCCATGTTACACCTCTCTTCATCTCCTTGCACTGGCTACCGGTTGCGGCCCGAATCAAGTTCAAGACATTGATGCTTGCATATAGAACAGCCACAGGCTCAGCACCCGCCTACTTCCACTCACTACTACGAATTTACATCCCCTCCAGAAGTCTGAGATCCGCTAGTGAGCGACGCCTCGTGGTACCATCACTTATTTGCTATTGACTGTTCAAATGCGGAGTTTTGCGCATCATGTGTGTGTGTGTGTGTGTGCGAGAGAGAGAGAGAGAGAGAGAGAGCGCGAGAGAGCAAGCCTGAGAGAGAGGGAGAGGAAGAGAGAAAGAGAGAGAGCGTGAAGACTCAAGCCACGTTATCACTGATAGTGCTCCTCAGCCCGCCTGCACCCAAATTTACTACTTCACTAGAGCATGAAAAACACAGCAAATTAAAGTGTGGAGCGTGCGTGTGTGTGTGTGCGAGAGAGAGAGAGAGAGAGAGCGCGAGAGAGCAAGCGCGAGAGAGAGGGAGAGGAAGAGAGAAAGAGACAGCATCACATCACAGTGGAGTCAGCGGTCTTAACCGTGGCTTGTGTACTGCATCATTACTGTGTCCCTTTTCGGGCTTGAACTGATGGTAAAACTAATGACATTATTTACTGTCTTTACATTTATTTTGAAAGCTAAAGCTTGTGATTATGGTAAGGAGTGTTACATTTCCTACATTTGCTTGCAGTGTTCGGCCAATCACAATGCACTGGGTCAGCTGGCCAATCAGAGCAGACTGCGCTTGTCGGAAGGAGGGGCTTTGTAGAAAACGAAGTGTTTGAGAGAGGCGGGGCATAGAGGACCTACAATAATGTACAGTATTTGAAAAATAATATGTTTTTTGAACATTAAAGCATGTCAACATATTCTGTTACACCAAATAATGATCTTTAAAAAAAGCATCATATGACCCCTTTAAATGATAAGCTGAGAGTAGCACACACCTCTGTGCGACCGCCTCCGTTTGCTCCCAGTCACGCAGAGACACGAACACCTTCATCTTCATGAGGAGCGCCGGGCTGAAGTCTGGATGAGAGACGATGATCTGGTTGGCGATGTCGAGAGCGCACTGCTCGTTCTGCTTCGCCATGAAGAACTCCATCTGCACGTCAAAGAAACAGCTTAGTCCCTGTACCATTATTCAAAAGAGTTCATCGGTATGTTTCTCAACACGTTTTACTTTTCCCATGAGTCCAAATAAATTCCCAGCATCCTGAACACCGCTGTCAAAGTAGCGTATAGCCTGAGGTCTGTTCTCTTCAGTGTCAGAGGTCAACACAATCCAGCCCTTCAGAATAAGCCCCTGGTAATAAAGACAAACAATTCATCAACCAGCCTGAAAGCAATATTTCCAACTACACCGGCATTTAAGCCTTCAAAATCTGACATATTAACGTAATATTACAAAATATAATAAATGGAACGGGTCATTTAACCTTTCGATGAAATGTATTAAAATAACGTTATTTTTTTATTATAGTGGCATTTAACAGTGTAAACCTGACATATGAAAGTCAAATGATTTTTTTCTCATAAATCTTAAATGTTTATTTAGCTTTTGTACATAAAAAAAGCATGTTTTTTTGTTATTGAGTATCATATTTGATCCATCAGGCTTTTATAGGTTATTATATCTAGAATATGGAGGAAAAACAGCTCGGTTTTATTCAGAGACCTGAACAGCGCAAAAATATGTAATTTGCTGCAGATACTGATATTTATATGATGAAATTCTGATAGCTTGTGATGTAAGTCGGTGAGATATTTATAACAGTGTAGCGGATACTCACATAAAATGATCTAAACATCAGTTTTCACTCTATATCTCCAATAATATGTCTTAAGATGAGATTGAAATGCTCCAAACATATAATGCAGTGATTGAGAGCTGAAGAAATAAAGGCTCCTCAGAAGATGTGAGATGTTCTGGAGGCTTGTGAAGATCATTCCTCCGCTGAGGAACAGTGAAAGTAAAGCTTCTGGAAACAAACGCTCCTCAAAAGATCCTGAGGATCAGATTTGAGACTCTAAAACATGATTGATGGAGAATCAAGTAAAGCTGAGCTGCTTCAGTGCAGGAAATATTACTACAGTTATTCTGACGTTTACTTTATAGAAATCAGATTTGACAGCAAAAAAATAAATAAAAACACATCTCTTCCATCTTTATTTGACCCTGTAACTCTAGCGCTCTAGATATTTTTGTTTAAAGCCAGTTTGTTTGTTATAAGGCAAGCTGCGTAATACAACGCCTTGTCACCGGCTGCAGATCCAGACAGCTTCAGCTCCCAGTTCAGCTGCTTCACAGCTTCTAGATCTCACGTGCATGAAGGAGCACACAGAATATATCACTGAACCAGTGCCTCATTCGCCAGTCAGTGGATGTACAGTACTTACCAATAGCTTCAGAGCGCTTGTGTGCGTAGATGAGAGCTGCTGTTGAACACAGACACAGATGAGGATGATCTCTCAGCTGAATAAACTCTCTCAAAGCCTCCTGTGTGTTACCTGCAACACAAGAGGAAGAGCCATCATCATCATCAGTTGCCATAAGCCGCTTAACCATCATAATAATCAACAATAGTATCATAAACACGTGTGAAAGTGAAGAATATGGACGTAAAACTAACTTAACGTTACCTTACCTTCCATCAGAGTTGCAAAAGCTTTGAAGAACCGGAGCACTGGATCATTATCGTACAACTTTAAACTCTTCACAGCTGTATTTACGGCATGTCTGTAATATTTCTCCCTCGTGTAATAAATTATTAACGGCTGTTAAAACAAACATCGGTCGTTGTTTTCTAAATGTACGTTTTCATTAAAATACAATAAAAGCGATAAAATTAAAACTTACCAAACACGTTTGGTCGCTTTCTGACATATTTAATCGGGATGATTAAACTTAATCGACAACTCCAACGGCATCTGTGATTTAAAATAACGGACACTTACGTGAGGCAACCACCTGCGCGGGAATAATAATCAAACACAGACAGCGGCGCCTGTGTTATTGATTTCAACCGATCTTCTGAAATTGATTACTCACGTCTGTTTAAACACGCTGCCATTATATGTATCCCGTACTGCTCTGTTTCGCTTTTCGTCTTGTTAATGTTTGAGGTAACTAATAAGAAGGATTAAAAATAGACTGTACGGGTTCTACTAAGGCGAAGGCGGTGCGTCACGAGACGCTCACGAGACGATTGGCTAACAGGCAGACGTTCGAATTAATATTAATGAGGACGTCCCATACGCTTCAGGAAGGTTACCAAGCAACGTCCCATGTACTAATTAATATTCATGAGCAAACCTTGGCTGTAGTAGGTTGCCGGCACTTCAGGATGGGTTTGATTCAAAGCGTGTTTGCTGCAGAGGCTGGATATCATGTGCATGGGGTGAGTGCGATATTTACAGCTGGAAAATACACTGATTTAGTCATTACTAGATTTAATTAGGCATCGAGTCTGATGAATCAGCGACTGACAGGGTTTTTATCAAGTGCATGATGTGTGACCTAAAGCTTTTGCAGGCGTGTCCTGGTAAAACACATCAGGATTTATACATTCCTCGAATATATTATAAAAAATAAGGGTTTTAAAATCTTTAAAGGCTTTTCTTTGAAAGATAATTACCATTAAGATCCTTCCGGATCAGTTCCAACACTGTAAACCATGTTTTTCATCAATATTTATGTCTCGTTTTCCAGTACAAATATCTTAAGATGCTGAGAAGCTAAACACTATAGATATATTACGTCTTGTTAAAGCAGCACTGTGTAACTTTTTCTGTGTTCAAAAATTTGCAAAGTGCATGTAATGAGCGAGTACATCATGAATTAATCTTCCAAACCGCGTTTTTGTCTTATTCTGAATCACTACGGTACACTTATAATAAGTGCTTATAATCGGACTATTGTAGCCTGGTCACCGCTGCGGAGTAACACACACCTGCGTGAATCGCCATAGACATACACTTAGAGAAGTAGATCCGCTCGGAATGTTCTTCCGCGGGATGTGTGCAGTTCTGTTTATTAACCGCTAGAGCGACACAAGTTACACAGTGCTGCATTAAAGGGGTCATATGATGCTTTTTTTTAAAGATCATTATTTTGTGTATTTAGTGTAACAGAATATGTTGACATGCTTTAATGTTCAAAAAACGCATTCTTTTTCAAATACTGTACATTATTGTAGGTCCTCTATGCCCCGCCTCTCTCAAACGCTTCATTTTCTACAAAGCCCCGCCTTTAGACAAGCGCAGTCTGCTCTGATTGGCCAGCTGAGCCGGTGCATTGTGATTGGCTGAACACCGCAAGCACTCTTCGGAAATGTAACGCCCCTTACCATAATCACGAGCTTTAGCTTTCAAAATTGTGTACTTGTGTGCAGTACACAAGCCACGGTTAAGACAGCTGACTCCACTGTGATAAATGAAAATGTGCATTTATTGTAAAAAAAAAAAAATATATATATATATATATATAATAATAATAATAATATTATATATATATAAATATAAATATATATAGTATGTAATGACAACAGCACTGGAGCTACATTAAATATTAAAATGACCAATAACCTACAAAATAGTGCTGAAGAATTTCTTGTTAATCTTATTAACTAATTTCTGTGTTTAAAATATTAATATCTTAGCATTTCCTGATTTAAGTGAATGAATGTTCTCCAAGACTTTTGGACCCCTCTGAATGAACACTGCAAAAATTATTATTTTTTAAAATGTATAAATCAAGATTGATTTACTCGAGAAGCAACATTACTTCAGATAAGTCTTGTTTTCAAAAATAAATAAATAAATAGAATCTTCAAGAAGCGGCTAAAAGCACATCTTTTTTGACCCTCTAACTCTAGCACTCTCTATTCTAATTCTATTCTTTTCTATTTTCTATTTCGATTCTTTTTGTATTCTATCCATTTGTTTTCTTTTTATTTATTATACAATTATCAAAAGCAAAAAAGGCCTCTAACACTAGCTTGCTCTATTCTTTTTCTATTCTATCGGTTTTTCTTTTTATTTATTATATAATTAAAAAAAACCTTGTTGCTACGTGTACTGCATTAAGTTAACCGAGACTTGTTATAGCACTTGCTCTTCTGTTGATTTTGATTACTTCTACTGTCCTCATTTGTAAGTCGCTTTAGATAAAAGCATCTGCTGAATGACTAAATGTAAATAAAGATGGATTTAAACCATAAGAAGAAAAATACCCTTGTTTTCTCTTTAAATTAAAATGAAGACGTTTGGACCCCACTGTCTGTTGTTTCTTTTCTTTCTCTTTTGTGTGTCTTGTGTAACTGGCGTGTTCGGTCAGGACGTGGACGTGAGTTCTCCTGCTGAACTGGCTGGACTCAAGCCGTATTCTGACTACATTGTTGGCGCAGACCAGGTGCTGCAGGAGGTAAGATCTGTTCATCAGTCTCCGAAGCAGATGTTTACTCTGATCTGATCACGCTCTCTGTGGACTCTCACAGTCGGAGGATTTCTTCTCGCTGATCGAGGCGTCGGAGGGCAAAGCGCTGAAGCTGCTGGTGTATAACACACAGAGCGACCGCTGCAGGGAAGTGCTCATCACTCCTAACGGAGCCTGGGGCGGAGAGGGAAGGTACACATCAGCAGTCAGCACATTCAGATGCTTTTCATTGTACTCTGAAACTTGCACATCAGACCGTAATCACGCCAGACTGTATTTCAGTGTTATTTAGCATCATCGAGATACTACTATAGATTTAATTCATGTTTTAAATGTTCAGTTTCCTCTTATATTTAGCAATATTTATTAAAAACAATGTGTATACACAGTATTTATTCATTTTTATAATTTTTTATTTTAAGTTTTGCGAAAGTGTGAATGATAATTTAGTTTTGAATGCATCTCACCAGTGTTTAGTATCATTTATATATTCTTATTTCTATATTCATTTAAATTTTAGTGAAAGCTTTAGTCACTTTATCAAGCGTTTTTGTCTCATAAAAAAGTCTATATAATATTTATTGATTTTTATAATTGTATTAGTTTTTATTTATTTAGTCTGTTATTTTATTTTCTCAACTTAAACCAAATGAAAATGAGAAATGTTGCCTTGGCAAGTGATAAATTAAATACATTTATTTTATTTGTGGCTTTACTTCACTATAATAACCTTGCTGTATTGTAAACAGTAGAGTTTTTTTTTTTTAAGTGTAACCTTCCGATTCCGATTTTCTTTCTAAGAACTATAATTAACAGCAATGTAAATGCAATAATACTTTTAATTATGAAACCAAACCACCAGTAGGTGGCGGCAAATGACTGTGAGTCATTAATTCAACAGATTCATTCAAACGGCTGATTCATTCAGAAACGAAGCAAGTGACTACTGTGTTTATGAATGGGTTACTGAATCATTGACTCACTCGATTCGTTCAAAAGCGTGGATTCATTCAGTAACGAAACACTGCTGTGTTGCTCGGAGACATGCAGCAGTTCTGCTGTGGCTTTTATTGGAACTAGTTTCATCAGCAAAATTGAGCAAAAACAGTCAATATTGTGTCTAAAATATAAGTCACTTAATTTTAACTTCTTGTTTATTGAACTACTATTGTATAAAATCAGTGTTGTTAAACATCTTGGTCGTGCAATGCTGCGTACCTAAATCATATATTATGATTTTTTTTTTCCCCCGTACTATGCATCTGTAACTTTCTGTGTGCGCTGTTGCGCTCATTTGTTTTGATTTCTGCACGAGTCTCTCTCACACACTCACTCAGGCTGCGCAAGCCTCATGCACGACATAAATACATAAAATAATACATTATCAGTCGCCGTAAGTGTGACGTCAAAACGGGCCGATCATGCGGAAACCTGCTAATTCTGGTCCCTGGCCGGTCGATCGGTGCATCTCTAGTAAACAGCATATATTTGTACTCTCGTGTGTCTGTGTGTTGTCAGTCTGGGTTGTGGCGTTGGGTTTGGGTACCTGCATCGCATTCCCATGCGTTCGCTCGCGTCGCATCAGCACCAGAACTCATCTGCAGCATCTGAAACCCAAGAGGACACACACTGTTCTGAGGTACAGACAAAACAATCTCACAGGAACACAACCAGGTCACATTTAAAGAATAAGTAAGTTTTAGGACCCTCACAGCTTCATCATTTATATTTACCCATTTTGGGGTGAAATGTGGCCTGGACGAGTTTATAATTAGATTAACCATCATAATGTTCAGAATATTTAGTGTTTAATTTTATGAGTCTCCTTCCAGTTATTATTAGATAGCTCCTCAAACGAGACGGACCGTGACGTGATGGCAGACGCTCGTGATGGATTCATTCAGGACACGACTGAAGCTTCAGCACCGTGTGAGAAATCAACTGGTGGGTCAAATAATCATTACACATAACACATCAAGTCATGAAGATATCAGAATAAGATGTGGTAGCGAATTGTGATAATCTTTAAAGCAATAGTTCACCCAAAAATGAAAAATGTGCTGAAATGTGCTCACACTCAGGCCATCCCAGATTAGGATGAGTTTGTTTCTTCATCAGGTTTGTAGAAATGTAGCATTGCATCACTTGCTCTGCAGTGAATGGGTGCCGTCAGAATGAGAGTCCAAACAGCTGATAAAAACATCACAATAATCCACAGCACTCCAGTCCATCAGCTAACATCTGGAGAAGACAAAAGCTGAAACTCCTCCAGCATTAAGACGCTTTTAACTTCAAACCATTGCTTCAGGCTAAAATCCGAGTCCATAATCCATAATAACGCTTCCTCCAGTGAAAGTGTGTTCTGGGCTGAATCAGGAGAGAAATCTGCACAGATCAAGCAGCGTTTACAAGCTAAAACAGCTCTTTACAAATAAGTGGCTGGATTTTCATATGAGAGGACAAGAGGAGACGGACATTTTCACTGGAGGAAGCGTTATTATGGATTATGGACTCGTATATTAGTTAAAAACGTCTTAATGCTGGATTAGTTTCAGCTTTTGTCTTCTCCAGATGTTAGCTGATGGACTGGAGTGCTGTGGATTATTGTGATGTTTTTATCAGCTGTTTGGACTCTCATTCTGACGGCACCCATTCACTTGCTGAGACACTGATGCAATGCTGCATTTCTCCAAATCTGTTCCAATTATGTCTGTAACTGTCGGTTTGAGACGACATCTGTGGATCTTTCTGGACGTTTGGATTTATCTGCTTCCTCTAGCGGATGCTGATGACGATGATGATGATGGAGGCGTCTGCAGCAGTGAAAATGCGTCTGCTTTAAGTAAGTATCAGATTACCTTTAAAAGCTTCATCTTCATATTTTCTCTCCTCCGCTCACGTCTCATCTTATTCCCTCATGAAGGTCGGTCTGAAGACGGCGTGGAGATCACGACAGCGGTCCAGAAGGACGATTCACTGAGACACTGATGCAATGCTACATTTCTCCAAATCTGTTCCAATTATGTCTGTAACTGTCGGTTTGAGACGACATCTGTGGATCTTTCTGGATGTTTGGATTTATCTGCTTCCTCTAGCGGATGCTGATGACGATGATGATGATGGAGGCGTCTGCAGCAGTGAAAATGCGTCTGCTTTAAGTAAGTATCAGATTACCTTTAAAAGCTTCATCTTCATATTTTCTCTCCTCCGCTCACGTCTCATCTTATTCCCTCATGAAGGTCGGTCTGAAGACGGCGTGGAGATCACGACAGCGGTCCAGAAGGACGATTCAGGGATCTACGACATTCAGACACCACCTGTGATCTTAAATATGGAACCAAAGGATGACGAGGTTGTAACATTTAGACCGAAAACCGTCTCATAAGTGCAACAGAGATGTACACATAATAACACATTAAAAGCACGTCACTGAAACCATTTACTGCTATTATAAAGCACCGACATGCAGGATTACACAGAAAAGATGCTTTATTTTAAGTGATACACATACACACTCATGCTTTAAAGAATATTAAGAAACTATATCTTCATCTGTGCATCTCACAGTAAATGTCTACAGTATACTTCACCCCAAAACCAAAGAAAAAATATATACAGTATTGGAAATTAAGCCTGTTTAAGAAACCTTTTCCTTTAGAGTTTTTGCATTGTGGCATTACTTTCATCAGTCCAAGCACATTTCCATAGAAAACATTTTTTTTTCATTATTTTCAGCGGTGATTTTAATAACTGTAATACAGTAATATCTCAGGAAAGCAGCTGGAACTCATTTTCATGAATGTTTTGGACACTAGTCCATTAAGCTGTTGACTGAATGTTTCTGAATGCAGTTTATTTTACAAATATAATGAATAATCAGGTTATCGTATATGATAAATAAATAAAAATATATAAGTATAAATATTTACATTTAATATATATTTTTATTAATTTTAATATTATTTTTAAATATATTCTTTTTTATACACTATATAGATTTTATTTTTATTTTTTTTTGATGCATCATATTTGATAACCTGATTATTCATCATATAAACCCAAAGGCCAGACTGTACACTGCTCAAGTGCTAAAAAAAAAAAAGTTAAAACATGTTTTATTATATGCATAGTTGGCGTAGAAGCTGCAAGAGTAAACAGTAACCGTAAGTATAATTGAACCTTATTTATTCTACATTATAAAAAAAGTGTCACTTGTGATCAAGCACCTCATGCTCACCTCTGAAATATTGACATATGCAAATGCAGACACCGTTTACTGCTTCTGAAAATGAGACATACATTTAATAATAATATATGGACTGATAATTGACCCATGGAGGATGCATGTCATATTTTGGGTTTATTTAGCTGAATATATCAGAGTATAACTTCAAAAGTACTGACCTGCTGGGTTTATTAAATGAGCTCTTCTTTTATCATGATGAACGATGTTCAAATGCAGTTTCATAAATGCATTAAAGAATGATATAATGCATATAACAATCATTTCGGTTTATTTCAGTTGTCATTTATCTTTAATAACCAGATGAGCCTGTAAAACTGGTCCAGAGCTGAATCTCCAATAAAAGCAGGGAAACATCGGGTTACCAACACTAGTAGGATGTTAAACAGGATCTGATTGTGTCAACATCACCTGCCCGGATCCTGCGGTTCTTCTCAAGATAAAGTGTGCATTTAAACTCAATCGTTCTTGGTTAATTTATTAAGCTGTTATTTACCCAAAATATACTGCATATAATTACAATCAACACGGGAAGCATACATACAGGGGATGTGGACGATTTAAAACCTTTCTCCATTTAGTTTCTGATGATTTTGTATTATCATAATTATCATCTTAATTGTCTTTAACCTAAGACTAAGTATATACATGAATATAATGTCGTTAGGACACTGTGCAAATCTTTGTATGATTGACAAACGTTTGCTGAACAGTTTTTTTGTTGTTGCATAAATTAAGAACATGAACTGAATTTTGCCATCCAGTGATGTCAAATTCAATAGTTCATAGCTTTCATATATATTTATTTATTTTTAGTGTATTTTCCCATCCACGCACAGGACGGAAAGATAACACTCAGCAGCAAACATCTGGATGAAGGAATAATTCACCTAAAAATGAAAATCGTCATTTATTCACCCTCATATTGTTCGAAACCAGTCAGCTTTTGTTATTTTTTTAAAGAATCTTCATGCAGATATTTCCATGCGACAACCGCATAGTTATTTAAATTTTCAGCATGTGTAAAGAATTTCCATTTTTGGGTGAATTATTCCTTTTAAAGCAATAGTTCACCCAAAAATTACAATTTGCTAAAATGTGCTCACGCTCAGGCCATCCAAGATGAGTGTGTTTCTTCATCAGGTTTGTAGAAATGTAGCATTGCATCAGTGTCTCAGCAAGTGAATGGGTGCCGTCAGAATGAGAGTCCAAACAGCTGATAAAAACATCACAATAATCCACACCACTCCAGTCCATCAGGTTACATCTGGAGATGATGTTAACTAACGCTTCTGGCTAAAATACAAGTCAATAATCCATAATAACGCTTTCTTCAGTGAAAAAGTGCATCTGCTGTTGTCTCTCACATCAAAATACAGCCACATATGTGTTTAGAGCTGTTTAAACGCTGCTTGATCTGTGCAGATTTCTCTCCTGATTCAGACCAGATGCTTTTTCACTGGAGGAAGAGTTATTATGGACTCGTATTTTAGCCTGAAGCAATGGTTTGAAGTTAAAAGCGTCTTAATGCTGGATATGTTTCAGCTTTTGTCTTCTCCAGATGTTAACTGATGGACTGGAGTGCTGTGGATTATTGTGATGTTTTTATCAGCTGTTTGGACTCTCATTCTGACGGCACCCATTCACTGCAGAGCATCCATTGCTGAGACACTGATGCAGTGCTACATTTCTACAATCCTGATGAAGAAACAAACTCATCCTGATCTTGGATGCCCTGAGCGTGAGCACATTCCAGCAATTTTTCATTTTTGGGTGAAATATAAAACATTTGTTTCTATGTCTGCTTATAATGTTTTGTGTATTTCCGCTCTCTACTCTTCTGTCATCGTATTTTACATGAAAAAGCACCTTTTTGAAGAGACCGTAGATTTTCTTAAAAAGAAACGTGAATAAAAACCTCCTAATCTCCAACTCAAGTTCAAGTCGACTACAAAATAATTACAATATATGTACATAACAGATCACAGCACGTTAGTGAGAGAGAGATGCATCACGGGAAACGGCGTTCTTGGAGTTTTCTCAGACATTCGGTCCATCTACGCGGCGCTCCTTAAAGATTCTCGATTGTTTTAAACCAGTTCCTCGGCTTTGATGACGGCACTGGCAACAAACACATCACTGGAATGTTAAATGAGAAGAGGAGAAAGTGGCGGTAAAAAACAAAAAACAACTCCGACACGTTCAAAATGGCATCCATCAAAAGAAATTCATGCCAAGAAAAAATAAAAATAAAAACCATACAGGTGGCAAAAAAAACACTTTTACGTGACGTCTTTTTGCCATTCATCGGCGTGTTTTCCAGCGATCCTCCTTCGCGTTTGCTCTTTGATAATCATGCGTGAGCCGAGCGGCCCGTGCGAGGAAGATGATGTAGACGTCAGACAGAACCGGGAAGTGCAGGTGAGCGTGTGCTTTGAATGTGAAGTGTAATGAATGGAGTTTCCTCAGATGGGCCGGGACCTCACGTGGATTTCTGCCGATAATGGAGCGTCAGATCGCCGCCGCTCTTCCAGATGAAATGCTTCACCGTCCGCAGATCCATGTTGGGATCCAGAACCTTTGGAAAGCAATGCAACAGCATGTCTAGACTTTCATAATTTCTCATTACGATTATAGTGACCTAAATGATCACGGTTATCAGTAATATCACGGTATCTTATACTTCCAGAATAAAAATGTCCTGATAATTTACTCACCCCCATGTCTTCCAAGATGTGCATGTCTGTCTTTCTTCAGTCGCAAAGAAATGAAGTTTTTTTGAGGAAAACATTCCAGGATTTTTCTCCATATGACTTCAGTGGTGCAGTTAAAAATGCAGCTTCAAAGAGCTCTACACGATCCCAGCCGAGACATAAGGGCCTTATCTAGTGAAACGATCAGTCATTTTCTGGAAAAACGTAATATTTATACACTTTTTAACCACAAATGCTCGGCTAGCATTAGCTCTGCCACTACTGAAGTGCACTATATGGAGAAAAATCCTGGAATGTTTTCCTCAAAAAACGTAATTTCTTTGCGACTGAAGAAAGAAAGACATGAACATCTTGGAAGCCATGGTAAATTATCAGGACATTTTTATTCTGGAAGTGAACTTATCTTTTAAAATGTGCTGGAAATGTTCAAAAAGTACTGAAACAAATAATTTCACCAAGTTTTGTATTTAAAATCAATAAATAAAATTGCTTTTAGTGTGCATAAACACTAAAACAAAAACATCACGAATGATGTCCGGATTTTAAATGACAACACGACTGACAACAGTTTATCTAATAGCATGTACAAAATGTTCAAATAAAACTTTGAAAGGGTTTCATAAAATGGTAAACCTCACATTTCAGCCTTTAAATAAAGAAAAGGGTTAAGTCGAAATGATAGCTGATTATATGCATTTTATCTGCTCCATAAATAATTCTAGATAAGTTATCCGAATTGTTTAAATGTGTAGAATCCACCTGAGCTTGTTTTTCATCAACCGGTCAAAATGCATGCAAATGAACTCTGTTTTTAGTCCAGACAGAAGCTGAGTGTAATGCAAGTCTCTGTAAATCCACTCTCTGACAGCAGGTGGCGCTTCTGGAGCAGCAGAATTACAGCGGTTTCTCATAACCTCCAGCGTTGCGATCAAAACACTACTTTATTAGGTTTTACACGGAGCGAAGATAAAAACACAACGCCATCGAATCTTTTCTGAAGACAGTCAGCTTTCAGAGGTACATTCATACGATTAATTCATTTGTATAATTCCCTTTAAAACCTCCCAGCTTCCCTCCATGTTTTCACACAAAACGAAACTACTGTGTGAGACGGTTCTTAAAACTCTGCTTTATGCTGGACAGTATTCATTTATCCTCAATTGTTCAAATCGCGGTAATTGAATACGGTTTTAATGATAATTAAAATATGAAACGGCAATACTAACCGTGGGGAATTTTATCACGATGTATCGTCAAACCGGTAATCGTTTCATCCCTAATAATGCATTCAAGTCATCCTGGGAAGGTAATATTTTATATAGTTGGGAAGTCGTAATTATGACGAGGTGTTTAACCCTGATGTTGTGTTCTGGTCATTTTGACCCACATAGGATTTTCTTTATTTATTTATTTATTTTTTCCTCCAGAATTGCTAGTTAATGTTATGGCACTGGACTACCAACTTTCAGATCATTTTTGTACTTTTTGGGATTTTATTCACACCTTGTTACACTTCAGAAATGATCATAGGCTTTGATCGTAGGCTTCATTGATCTGAGCTCATGCACCTCAGTTTTTGAGTACCCACAAATGTTTTTGTTTTCACTGAAAAACTGAGGTGCATGAGCTCAAATCAATGAGGCCTATGATCAAACGGTTCCAAAAAAAGAAAGAAATAACCCATGCTAATTGAAAGAAAACTTGATAAAAAGATTGAATCCAATATTATAGCATTATAAGAGATTTACAAGCAATTGTTAAAAGACATCACTTTTGTCAACTTGGGTCGGAGCGATGTAAATTTTTTTGCATAAAATTCAATAATATTTTTTAATTCTACATCTACAAAATGATGCATAAAAAATGTGTCATAGCCGATTTAGCTTTTTTTGTATTTATATTTAATTTATGAAAGCCTCGTAACTGAATCATTATACATTCTATTGTAGAAGTACAGTACTATGATATTTTGCACATGCTACTCTATTGTAAAGATAATTTTTTTTAATATTAAAGATAAACTGGCCATTGTCAGTGCTCTAATGTAGTAAACTAATGTTAAAAAACAAATGAAACCCGGTACAGTATGACAAAATGACTGAAATAACACAATTGCCTTCGTCTAATGAAATACCTGGTCTTGACAGAGCAGCTCGATCTTCTCCTCCGCTAGCACTGCCATGTCCTCCTCCTCCTTCTGCTCGCTGGGTTTCTCTGCGGCCGAAGCACCCGTCTGCGACTCGCTGTCCAGGTTGATGATCTTTTCATACACGTGCTCCATCACCTTCCTCACCTGTAACATGTCACTGGCCGACAAACGATCCCTACAAACACACGACTGTTCATTTCCATGCGTGTCGATGTGCAACGGCATCCAAAAAGTGTGTTCTGGGATGAGTTGAAATTACTGTTTGTGCAACAGATGCCATGAACGGATGATAAAAATAAACAATCGCCCACTTTTTCAGTGCCGTTTATTTATAAAAACGTCAAAGTGTTTTAAAGGGACAGTTCATCCCCCAAAAAATTGTCATTATTTAGTCATCTTTAAGGTGTTCCAAACCTGTGTGAGTTTCTATCTTCTGTTGAACATGAAAGAACATATTTTGAAGAATGTTGGAAACCATACAGTTGACGGTACCCATTGACTTCCATAGTATTTTTCCCCTACTAAGGATAAGATAATAAGAAAAATAGGATATTTAGATATCTAAATAAGATATTTTGAAGATGTTGTGAAGAACCAAACAGTGGCCGGTAGCCATTGACTTCTATAGTATTGTTTTTTTCTACTATGGAAGCCATTGGCTACCGTCAACTGTTTGGTTCTCAATATTCTTCAAAAAATATCTTTAAAAATTATCTTATTTTGAACAAGGTTGGAAACCAAAAAGTTGATGGTACCCATAATGGTTTTGTTTTTTTTTTACTAAGGAAGTCAATGGCTACCATCAACCGTTTGGTTCCCAACATTCTTCAAAATATATCTTTAAAAATTATCTTATTTTGAATAATGTTGGCCACCCAACAGTTACCGGTACCCATTGACTTCCATAGTATTTTATTATTTTTTTTACCATGGAAGCCATTGTCTACCGTCAACTGTTTGGTTCTCAATATTCTTCAAAATATATCTTTAAAAATCATCTTATTTTGAATAATGCTGGAAACCAAACAGTTGCTGGTACCCATTGACTTCCATAGTATTTTTTTTTTACTACTACTACTACTACTATGGAAGTCAATGGCTACCATCAACCGTTTGGTTCCCAACATTAATGATGTCCGGATTTTAAATGACAACACGACTGACAACAGTTTATCTAATAGCATGTACAAAATGTTCAAATAAAACTTTGAAAGGGTTTCATAAAATGGTAAACCTCACATTTCAGCCTTTAAATAAAGAAAAGGGTTAAGTCGAAATGATAGCTGATTATATGCATTTTATCTGCTCCATAAATAATTCTAGATAACTTATCCGAATTGTTTAAATGTGTAGAATCCACCTGAGCTTGTTTTTCATCAACCGGTCAAAATGCATGCAAATGAACTCTGTTTTTAGTCCAGACAGAAGCTGAGTGTAATGCAAGTCTCTGTAAATCCACTCTCTGACAGCAGGTGGCGCTTCTGGAGCAGCAGAATTACAGCGGTTTCTCATAACCTCCAGCGTTGCGATCAAAACACTACTTTATTAGGTTTTACACGGAGCGAAGATAAAAACACAACACCATCGAATCTTTTCTGAAGACAGTCAGCTTTCAGAGGTACATTCATACGATTAATTCATTTGTATAATTCCCTTTAAAACCTCCCAGCTTCCCTCCATGTTTTCACACAAAACGAAACTACTGTGTGAGACGGTTCTTAAAACTCTGCTTTATGCTGGACAGTATTCATTTATCCTCAATTGTTCAAATCGCGGTAATTGAATACGGTTTTAATTATAATTAAAATATGAAACGGCAATACTAACCGTGGGGAATTTTATCACGATGTATCGTCAAACCAGTAATCGTTTCATCCCTAATAATGCATTCAAGTCATCCTGGGAAGGTAATATTTTATATAGTTGGGAAGTCGTAATTATGACGAGGTGTTTAACCCTGATGTTGTGTTCTGGTCATTTTGACCCACATAGGATTTTCTTTATTTATTTATTTATTTTTTCCTCCAGAATTGCTAGTTAATGTTATGGCACTGGACTACCAACTTTCAGATCATTTTTGTACTTTTTGGGATTTTATTCACACCTTGTTACACTTCAGAAATGATCATAGGCTTTGATCGTAGGCTTCATTGATCTGAGCTCATGCACCTCAGTTTTTGAGTACCCACAAATGTTTTTGTTTTCACTGAAAAACTGAGGTGCATGAGCTCAAATCAATGAGGCCTATGATCAAACGGTTCCAAAAAAAGAAAGAAATAACCCATGCTAATTGAAAGAAAACTTGATAAAAAGATTGAATCCAATATTATAGCATTATAAGAGATTTACAAGCAATTGTTAAAAGACATCACTTTTGTCAACTTGGGTCGGAGCGATGTAAATTTTTTTGCATAAAATTCAATAATATTTTTTAATTCTACATCTACAAAATGATGCATAAAAAATGTGTCATAGCCGATTTAGCTTTTTTTGTATTTATATTTAATTTATGAAAGCCTCGTAACTGAATCATTATACATTCTATTGTAGAAGTACAGTACTATGATATTTTGCACATGCTACTCTATTGTAAAGATTATTTTTTTTTAATATTAAAGATAAACTGGCCATTGTCAGTGCTCTAATGTAGTAAACTAATGTTAAAAAACAAATGAAACCCGGTACAGTATGACAAAATGACTGAAATAACACAATTGCCTTCGTCTAATGAAATACCTGGTCTTGACAGAGCAGCTCGATCTTCTCCTCCGCTAGCACTGCCATGTCCTCCTCCTCCTTCTGCTCGCTGGGTTTCTCTGCGGCCGAAGCACCCGTCTGCGACTCGCTGTCCAGGTTGATGATCTTTTCATACACGTGCTCCATCACCTTCCTCACCTGTAACATGTCACTGGCCGACAAACGATCCCTACAAACACACGACTGTTCATTTCCATGCGTGTCGATGTGCAACGGCATCCAAAAAGTGTGTTCTGGGATGAGTTGAAATTACTGTTTGTGCAACAGATGCCATGAACGGATGATAAAAATAAACAATCGCCCACTTTTTCAGTGCCGTTTATTTATAAAAACGTCAAAGTGTTTTAAAGGGACAGTTCATCCCCCAAAAAATTGTCATTATTTAGTCATCTTTAAGGTGTTCCAAACCTGTGTGAGTTTCTATCTTCTGTTGAACATGAAAGAACATATTTTGAAGAATGTTGGAAACCATACAGTTGACGGTACCCATTGACTTCCATAGTATTTTTCCCCTACTAAGGATAAGATAATAAGAAAAATAGGATATTTAGATATCTAAATAAGATATTTTGAAGATGTTGTGAAGAACCAAACAGTGGCCGGTAGCCATTGACTTCTATAGTATTGTTTTTTTCTACTATGGAAGCCATTGGCTACCGTCAACTGTTTGGTTCTCAATATTCTTCAAAAAATATCTTTAAAAATTATCTTATTTTGAACAAGGTTGGAAACCAAAAAGTTGATGGTACCCATAATGGTTTTGTTTTTTTTTTACTAAGGAAGTCAATGGCTACCATCAACCGTTTGGTTCCCAACATTCTTCAAAATATATCTTTAAAAATTATCTTATTTTGAATAATGTTGGCCACCCAACAGTTACCGGTACCCATTGACTTCCATAGTATTTTATTATTTTTTTTACCATGGAAGCCATTGTCTACCGTCAACTGTTTGGTTCTCAATATTCTTCAAAATATATCTTTAAAAATCATCTTATTTTGAATAATGCTGGAAACCAAACAGTTGCTGGTACCCATTGACTTCCATAGTATTTTTTTTTTACTACTACTACTACTACTATGGAAGTCAATGGCTACCATCAACCGTTTGGTTCCCAACATTCTTCAAAATATATCTTTAAAAATTATCTTATTTTGAATAATGTTGAAAACCAAACAGTTGCTGGTACCCATCGACTTCCATGGTATTTTTTTCCCCTACTAAGGAAGTCAATGGCTACAGGCAACTATTTGGTTCCCAACATTCTTCAAAATAAGATATTTTGAAGAACCTAACAGTGGCCGGAAGCCATTGACTTCTATAGTATTTTATTATTTGTTTACCATGGAAGCCATTGTCTATCGTCAATTGTTTGGTTCTCAATATTCTTCAAAATATATCTTTAAAAATTATCTTATTTTGAATAATGTTGGCCACCCAACAGTTACCGGTACCCATTGACTTCCATAGTATTTTATTATTTTTTTTACCATGGAAGCCATTGTCTACCGTCAACTGTTTGGTTCTCAATATTCTTCAAAATATATCTTTAAAAATCATCTTATTTTGAATAATGCTGGAAACCAAACAGTTGCTGGTACCCATTGACTTCCATAGTATTTTTTTTTTACTACTACTACTACTACTATGGAAGTCAATGGCTACCATCAACCGTTTGGTTCCCAACATTCTTCAAAATATATCTTTAAAAATGATCTTATTTTGAATAATGTTGGAAACCAAACATTTGCTGGTACCCATTGACTTCCATAGTATTTTTTAATTTTTACTACTACTACTATGGAAGTCAATGGCTACAGGCAACTATTTGGTTCCCAACATTCTTCAAAATAAGGTATTTTGAAGATGTTTTGAAGAACCAAACAGTGGCCGGTAGCCATTGACTTCTATAGTATTGTTTTTTCACTACTATGGCTGCCATCAACCGTTTGGTTCCCAACATTCTTCAAAATTTTAAAAAAAAAAAAAAACTTGAGGGGGAATAAATTGACAATTTTCATTTTTGGGTGAACTGTGCCTTTAAACCAAGATAAACCTGTAGGTCCATCTTTAAACTATTGTTATAAATCTACCTCTCTATAGAGAAAATCAAGGGATTTTTACACCAAGATCCAACTGTTGCATCCTACAGTCTCTGTCTAAGAAGCTTCAGACGGAAACATCACAGGTCACACATACTTCTTTAATGTTTTTGCTCCGGAGGACGAATGGGGCTGGAGGTAGAATGGGATTTTGTTGAATTTGGGCATGTTTTTCTGTAAGAGAAAGAAAGAAATGCTCTTATATGACAGAAATCACAAGTGTAAATCACTTTGAAGAGGACTTTACGGACACTTACGTCCACGGTGATGTCGATGACCCACTGCGGGACCGTCTCGTTGAGTAACATGGACTCAGTTTCTCCACCGGAGTCTCGACACAGCAGCCTGAGCACAGACGTCATTTCATCAGCGAACACCAGCGTCTACAGAACTGATCAAACAGAGGACACTCACCTGAATAACGTCCTTCCTCCCGCTTCACCGAAAATCACCGGCGTGTGCGGCGGCACCTGGAAATATCCGTTTCCCTTCTGTATCCGGCTCTCGTGCTCACCGTTCACTGAGGAACACACCAAATACAGCATCAGCATCGTCTGAAGAATTCAGCATCGTTTCAGAAAATATTGAGCATTAAATCAAAATGAAGATTTATTTTAATGTAATTGTAAAGAAAAATAAACACGCAAAATCAAGCCCCATCCAACATTTAAATCCTGCTGAATATTCTTGTTCACATTGAAATGTCACATTATGGAAGTTAAATAAATTATGAAACATTATTATTATCTAGCAATAAATAAAAATAAATTAAATAAACAAATTTACATATTTATTATTACATATAATATATACATTTATATAATTTTATGTAATCATATACGTGTTATATGGGTACTATTTTTATTATTATTATCTAGCTTTATAAAAATATGCATAATTAATATAAATACCATTATATAAAATGTGTGTGTGTGTGTTAGTTACATAGGTCCTCTTATTATTATTATTATATAACAGGAATTATAAACTTTGGATATTATTTTGTCAAATTAATTGTAACTTTTATATTACAAAAATACAATATGCAAGGTTATAATTATTGTTAACTATTACTATTATTATTACTACTTTTAAAATGTACCATTTTACACACATATATGTATGTGTAATATGTTAATTAAATGTGTTAATATAAGTTCTACACTAATTATAACTCATTTATATTGAAAAAATACAATATCTAGGTTTAGAATTACTACATACACTATATCATAGTAATATTATTACATATAGCATTACATAATAATTATAATACATTTATGAATTATGTGATTGTACAACGGTAATAATACTAATATAATGTAATTATAAATTTTGATATTTTATTTCATATATATACACACACACACATTATATATTTATATGATTTATTTTATAATATTTAATTTTTTTCATCAGCATTTTATTTTATTTTATTTTTACTTGCCATACCAGCATCTATGGCTATTTTCATGGTTATAGAGTCTTTACCGCTCCCATGATTGAGTTCGGTCTCCTCGTCCGTGGGGTTGGTGTGAGTGCGAGGCCAGTACTCCAGCAGAGCCTGCAGCAGCAGCCCGCCCAGATTCACTGCAGCACAACACAACACACATTAATAACTCATCTTTCTCATCTACTGTCATGATAAACGGCTCGGCTCACGTTTAGGGTCGGATCCGTCAGGGCTGGTGAAGCCAGCATCTTTAGCAGAAACCCAGGCTGCAAAGCAGTCGCTCTCGTCCAGCGTTATCGTCAACATCTGTCAATCACAAGCCAGACGATGCATAAAACATTCACTGTGATGTGCTTAAACACCGTCCTGCCGTGACGTACCCCTGTCTTCAGATCCACCGAAAACCAGTTCGGCACATAAACCATCTTGAACCTTTTCTTGATCTCTTCATCAAACTCCATCTTGCCCAAGTCTTCGACTTTACAGGCCTGCGAAACAGAGTGAGACAACGGACCAGTTACTCAGATCGATCAGGTGCAGACACACACACGTAAACGTTACCTTCAGCACATCCCAGTACGCCAGGTTATTGTTGGTGTCTTTGGTCAGAATGTGTCGTTTGTCGTTCAGAATGTGGCACTGAATTATACTGGCGCCACCTACAGGTCAAAACAAGACATTCACTTGAGGAACTATAACAACTCAAACTAAAACATTGAAAACTATATTAAGTAACATTATAAATAAATAAATATGAATATATATGTGTGTGTGAGATTATTATTAATAATAATGTATACACAGTAATTATAATCTTAATAAAAACATACAATTAAAATATAAAAATATAAATATTATCAATTAAAATAAATTATAAAAATGTGTGTAGGTGTAGTTATTATTAAATATATACACAGTAAATTAAACACTTTATAAAACATACAATAAAAATATAAATATTATCAATTAAAATAAAAATATAAAAACTGCAAATTATGACAAAAAATAAACAAAATTAATTATAACTTCAATAAATTATAACTTTTATATTGAGGCCAAGACAAGACATTAACTTGAGGAACTATAATAATTCAAACTAAAACATTAAAAACTATATTATGTAACATTATAAACAAACAAATAAATATGTATAATTTTGTATATATATATATATATGTGTGTGTGTGTGTGTGTGATTGTCATTATTATTAATAATAATATATACACAGTAACTATATCTTTATAAAAACATACAATTAAAATATAAAAAATATAAATACTATCAATAAAAATACAAATGTGTGTGTGTAATTATTAATAATAATAATTATTATTACTATATATACACAGTAAATTATACACTTTATAAAACATACAATAAAAATATAAATATTATCAATTAAAATATAAAAAATATTCATTATGACAAAAAACAAACAAAATTAATTATAACTTAAATAAATTATAGCTTTTATATTAGAAAAAATACGATATCATGCTAAAGATGCTGTTTGATGGAGATTCTAATTATTAACGTATGTGAAGATCCTGTAAAACACGGACTCTGAAGCACATGCAGACAGCCGTACCTTTGATCAGCTGCTCTGTCTGCGTGCACAGCGGCGTCAGCGGAGCGCTGCAGTCATTGTCGTAATCACCAGACGCTCGGAAATTATGGATACCCTTCAGAGACTGGGGAAAAACACAGACATTACTCAAAACAATGCCCACTATCAGAGAAATCAAATTATGGACCAGTGTTATTTTAGCATCACTGATACAGTATTATTTTTTTTGTTAAAATATTGTCTCGGTCTAGTGAACCAAGTATCTGTATTTTGTCTCATCTCGTGAGCTAAAGTCGATAAGGGGTGATATAGCTCATCATTTTTCATATAGCGTTCATTCTTCAGGTCAACCATATATTCATGAAAAAAAAATTTTACATTTGAAAGGATACTATGACAAAGGTATCGCTTTCTTTATTCAAAAGTTGCCACAGCCATTGCATGCTCTGCACCATTTAAATTACAGGCTTCTCAGTCAAACTCTGACAGGATCAAATTAGTATTAATCATATCTAATAATTATTCAGTGAATGCAATTGTGACAATATTCTTTGTGTCTGCCCACAGCTCCAGTTTCAGATGAAAAGCGTGAATTGCATAACTAACAGAAGCATTCTACCATTTTAAGATGCAACCTATAACATGCAACAAATTAAACCGTTACCTAAAGATAGTAGCACTGCGCCCCATCCCGGGATATTTAGCCGAAGGGTGACACTAATTAATGAGTAAAGGAACACGCTGCAGATTATTTAAAGCTCGGCTGTAGGATGTGTGTGTAACGTCACGGCGGCTGGAGCAGGTGGTGTTTCCGCTCGCGTCTCGCCCTACACCAGCTGCACTTACCCACTTATTAACCGTGGACTTTGTGGTGGAAACCCAGATGGCCGAATGCGGATCAGCCGAGCGGTCCAGCTCCATCTGAAAGACAGGAGAGCACATATTCACACCTCAGTAACTTTCCCTTCCTTCCTATTACCTGCTCACGCTCCACAGCTGCTGCGGCTATTAATAGCTGTGTTTGACGCATAAACTTGCACTCTTGATTTAAAGTCTATGGGAATGTTTATTTTATATATTTATTTCATAGTTATTTAATATATAGAGATATATAGTTACATTCTTTTTAATTTTATATATTTCAGATTTAATTAAAATATAATTTTGACATTTATATATCTATTTTTTATTGTACAAATTGATTTAATATTTAATTCAAATAAAATATTTATTTAATATTTATTTTATCTGTATGTATGTATGTATATATATATATATATATATACCGTCACGGTACGAACATCTCGGTTCGGTGCATGAGGCCTTACAACGAATACAGGCAATTCACCCCCAATCCAGAAGGGGGCGCCACCAGCCGCCAGCAGAAGAACAGCGAATGCCATGAGTTGTGCCCATGTGCTGATTCTGAATGCGTCTGAACTGTTTGTGAAATGGAGCTTTGTGCTCTCTCATTCGGCACAAATCCAAATATTCCATCATATTTCCATATTTGCGATGTATGCCTTTGATAAAAGGCTGCATTTATCAAATAAAAGCAGCCTTGATGAGCAGAAGAGACTTCGTTAAAAACATTTTTTCATCAGCATTTTATTTTATTTTATTTTTACTTGCCATACCAGCATCTATGGCTATTTTCATGGCAAGATCAATGTATTTAAAAGAGACTTGTAACATCCAGTAGTCGGTGTTTTAGTTGAGGGATGAGTTATAGAGTCTTTACCGCTCCCATGATTGAGTTCGGTCTCCTCGTCCGTGGGGTTGGTGTGAGTGCGAGGCCAGTACTCCAGCAGAGCCTGCAGCAGCAGCCCGCCCAGATTCACTGCAGCACAACACAACACACATTAATAACTCATCTTTCTCATCTACTGTCATGATAAACGGCTCGGCTCACGTTTAGGGTCGGATCCGTCAGGGCTGGTGAAGCCAGCATCTTTAGCAGAAACCCAGGCTGCAAAGCAGTCGCTCTCGTCCAGCGTTATCGTCAACATCTGTCAATCACAAGCCAGACGATGCATAAAACATTCACTGTGATGTGCTTAAACACCGTCCTGCCGTGACGTACCCCTGTCTTCAGATCCACCGAAAACCAGTTCGGCACATAAACCATCTTGAACCTTTTCTTGTTCTCTTCATCAAACTCCATCTTGCCCAAGTCTTCGACTTTACAGGCCTGCGAAACAGACAGCGAAGCAGTCACAGGACGGATGGGTCACGTGTCGAGGCACACGCATGTAAACGTTACCTTCAGCACATCCCAGTACGCCAGGTTATTGTTGGTGTCTTTGGTCAGAATGTGTCGTTTGTCGTTCAGAATGTGGCACTGAATTATACTGGCGCCACCTACAGGTCAAAACAAGACATTCACTTGAGGAACTATAACAACTCAAACTAAAACATTGAAAACTATATTAAGTAACATTATAAATAAATAAATATGAATATATATGTGTGTGTGAGATTATTATTAATAATAATGTATACACAGTAATTATAATCTTAATAAAAACATACAATTAAAATATAAAAATATAAATATTATCAATTAAAATAAATTATAAAAATGTGTGTAGGTGTAGTTATTATTAAATATATACACAGTAAATTAAACACTTTATAAAACATACAATAAAAATATAAATATTATCAATTAAAATAAAAATATAAAAACTGCAAATTATGACAAAAAATAAACAAAATTAATTATAACTTCAATAAATTATAACTTTTATATTGAGGCCAAGACAAGACATTAACTTGAGGAACTATAATAATTCAAACTAAAACATTAAAAACTATATTATGTAACATTATAAACAAACAAATAAATATGTATAATTTTGTATATATATATATATATATGTGTGTGTGTGTGTGTGTGTGTGTGATTATTATTATTAACAGTAATTATAATCTTTATAAAAACATACAATTAAAATATAAAAATTATCAATAAAAATGTATGTATAATTATTATTAATAATTATTACTATATATACACACAGTAAATTATACACTTTATAAAACATACAATAAAAATATAAATATCAATTAAAATAAAAAATATAAAAAATACTAATGACAAAAAATAAACAAAATTAATTATAACTTAAATAAATTATAGCTTTTATATTAGAAAAAATACGATATCATGCTAAAGATGCTGTTTGATGGAGATTCTAATTATTAACGTATGTGAAGATCCTGTAAAACACGGACTCTGAAGCACATGCAGACAGCCGTACCTTTGATCAGCTGCTCTGTCTGCGTGCACAGCGGCGTCAGCGGAGCGCTGCAGTCATTGTCGTAATCACCAGACGCTCGGAAATTATGGATACCCTTCAGAGACTGGGGAAAAACACAGACATTACTCAAAACAATGCCCACTATCAGAGAAATCAAATTATGGACCAGTGTTATTTTAGCATCACTGATACAGTATTATTTTTTTTGTTAAAATATTGTCTCGGTCTAGTGAACCAAGTATCTGTATTTTGTCTCATCTCGTGAGCTAAAGTCGATAAGGGGTGATATAGCTCATCATTTTTCATATAGCGTTCATTCTTCAGGTCAACCATATATTCATGAAAAAAAAATTTTACATTTGAAAGGATACTATGACAAAGGTATCGCTTTCTTTATTCAAAAGTTGCCACAGCCATTGCATGCTCTGCACCATTTAAATTACAGGCTTCTCAGTCAAACTCTGACAGGATCAAATTAGTATTAATCATATCTAATAATTATTCAGTGAATGCAATTGTGACAATATTCTTTGTGTCTGCCCACAGCTCCAGTTTCAGATGAAAAGCGTGAATTGCATAACTAACAGAAGCATTCTACCATTTTAAGATGCAACCTATAACATGCAACAAATTAAACCGTTACCTAAAGATAGTAGCACTGCGCCCCATCCCGGGATATTTAGCCGAAGGGTGACACTAATTAATGAGTAAAGGAACACGCTGCAGATTATTTAAAGCTCGGCTGTAGGATGTGTGTGTACCGTCACGGCGGCTGGAGCAGGTGGTGTTTCCGCTCGCGTCTCGCCCTACACCAGCTGCACTTACCCACTTATTAACCGTGGACTTTGTGGTGGAAACCCAGATGGCCGAATGCGGATCAGCCGAGCGGTCCAGCTCCATCTGAAAGACAGGAGAGCACATATTCACACCTCAGTAACTTTCCCTTCCTTCCTATTACCTGCTCACGCTCCACAGCTGCTGCGGCTATTAATAGCTGTGTTTGACGCATAAACTTGCACTCTTGATTTAAAGTCTATGGGAATGTTTATTTTATATATTTATTTCATAGTTATTTAATATATAGAGATATATAGTTACATTCTTTTTAATTTTATATATTTCAGATTTAATTAAAATATAATTTTGACATTTATATATCTATTTTTTATTGTACAAATTGATTTAATATTTAATTCAAATAAAATATTTATTTAATATTTATTTTATCTGTATGTATGTATGTATATATATATATATATATATTAACCGTCCCCATCTGATTCATGGCCAGACTGTAGATGGAGTCCTTGTTTCCGCTGAGAGAAGACGCTGTACAACAAAGAATATTGATCCTTTATATAAACTAAAGTCCAGGATTTGTTGATTCTTTAATACCGAATTTGGGTCTACTAAACTATTTTGACATTGCTCATGTCAAAATGTAAAATAAAATAGGTGTTCTTCATATCAGATATTTAAATAATAATAATCTGGGGGGGAAATATTTTTTCAAATATATCAAATTAACATCAGAACTCACTAGTAACGGTGTTATTGGACGCGGTCAGTGCGGTCAGTGTGTTCACATCCCAGAGAAAGATCTGTCTGTCCAGTCCTGCAGAAGCCACCAGCTCTTTGTCTTTAGCATATGCCAATGCTTTAACATAGTCCTGCACAAAAATAAGAATACACAAGAAACTATAAAAATAGAAACATACATAATGCACACTTTAATATAGAAAAGCATAAAAAACATTTATTCAACTGGTAGATTCATACTAGAAACTCTTTGCATTTAATTGAAAACACAAATGGGCTGCAAACCCATGCAGAACAGCGAAATAAAGGGTCATGTTTTTTGAAGGCTTTCTTGGATGTGTTTGGTCATGCACCTGGTTTGTTTGGACGTGCATGTAACATTTTGTCATCAGGCTGATTGAAACCATGACCGTACCTTATGCGTTCGCAGTGTTGACATGCAGAAGCCCTTGTGTGCGTTCCAGACCTTCACCGTAGTGTCTGATGACGCTGATATCACTGCAGACACAACAGACAAACATATCTATCTGTACTGCATTCATAAAACAACATTAGAACTGCACTGTACACGTCAAGCACTCACATGTTTTCCCGTTGCAGCAGAGGACGATGTCGTTGACCCAGTCTGTGTGATGCTCCATCGATGCAATGTATGGATCCTGCTGCAAAACACACACACACACACACACACAAGAGCAGGAACGTCATTTCAAAGGCCAGGGAAGTGTTTTGACATCACATACACGTTTTTAGTGACTGACGGGTTAGTTTTGACATCACATGCACAGGTTTAGTGACTGACGGGTTAGTTTTGACATCACATGCACGGGTTTAGTGACTGACATCACATGCACGGGTTTAGTGACTGACGGGTTAGTTTTGACATCACATGCACGGGTTTAGTGACTGATATCACATGCACAGGTTTAGTGACTGACGGGTTAGTTTTGACATCACATGCACGTTTTTAGTGACTGACGGGTTAGTTTTGACATCACATAAACGGGTTTAGTGACTGACGGGTTAGTTTTGCCATCACATGCACAGGTTTAGTGACTGACGGGTTAGTTTTGACATCACATGCACAGGTTTAGGGACAGACGGGTTAGTTTTGACATCACATGCACAGGTTTAGGGACAGACGGGTTAGTTTTGACATCACATGCACAGGTTTAGGGACAGACGGGTTAGTTTTGACATCACATGCACAGGTTTAGGGACAGACGGGTTAGTTTTGACATCACATGCACAGGTTTAGGGACAGACGGGTTAGTTTTGACATCACATGCACAGGTTTAGGGACAGACGGGTTAGTTTTGACATCACATGCACAGGTTTAGGGACAGACGGGTTAGTTTTGACATCACATGCACAGGTTTAGGGACAGACGGGTTAGTTTTGACATCACATGCACAGGTTTAGGGACAGACGGGTTAGTTTTGACATCACATGCACAGGTTTAGGGACAGACGGGTTAGTTTTGACATCACATGCACAGGTTTAGGGACAGACGGGTTAGTTTTGACATCACATGCACAGGTTTAGGGACAGACGGGTTAGTTTTGACATCACATGCACAGGTTTAGGGACAGACGGGTTAGTTTTGACATCACATGCACAGGTTTAGGGACAGACGGGTTAGTTTTGACATCACATGCACAGGTTTAGGGACAGACGGGTTAGTTTTGACATCACATGCACAGGTTTAGGGACAGACGGGTTAGTTTTGACATCACATGCACAGGTTTAGGGACAGACGGGTTAGTTTTGACATCACATGCACAGGTTTAGGGACAGACGGGTTAGTTTTGACATCACATGCACAGGTTTAGGGACAGACGGGTTAGTTTTGACATCACATGCACAGGTTTAGGGACAGACGGGTTAGTTTTGACATCACATGCACAGGTTTAGGGACAGACGGGTTAGTTTTGACATCACATGCACAGGTTTAGGGACAGACGGGTTAGTTTTGACATCACATGCACAGGTTTAGGGACAGACGGGTTAGTTTTGACATCACATGCACAGGTTTAGGGACAGACGGGTTAGTTTTGACATCACATGCACAGGTTTAGGGACAGACGGGTTAGTTTTGACATCACATGCACAGGTTTAGGGACAGACGGGTTAGTTTTGACATCACATGCACAGGTTTAGGGACAGACGGGTTAGTTTTGACATCACATGCACAGGTTTAGGGACAGACGGGTTAGTTTTGACATCACATGCACAGGTTTAGGGACAGACGGGTTAGTTTTGACATCACATGCACAGGTTTAGGGACAGACGGGTTAGTTTTGACATCACATGCACAGGTTTAGGGACAGACGGGTTAGTTTTGACATCACATGCACAGGTTTAGGGACAGACGGGTTAGTTTTGACATCACATGCACAGGTTTAGGGACAGACGGGTTAGTTTTGACATCACATGCACAGGTTTAGGGACAGACGGGTTAGTTTTGACATCACATGCACAGGTTTAGGGACAGACGGGTTAGTTTTGACATCACATGCACAGGTTTAGGGACAGACGGGTTAGTTTTGACATCACATGCACAGGTTTAGGGACAGACGGGTTAGTTTTGACATCACATGCACAGGTTTAGGGACAGACGGGTTAGTTTTGACATCACATGCACAGGTTTAGGGACAGACGGGTTAGTTTTGACATCACATGCACAGGTTTAGGGACAGACGGGTTAGTTTTGACATCACATGCACAGGTTTAGGGACAGACGGGTTAGTTTTGACATCACATGCACAGGTTTAGGGACAGACGGGTTAGTTTTGACATCACATGCACAGGTTTAGGGACAGACGGGTTAGTTTTGACATCACATGCACAGGTTTAGGGACAGACGGGTTAGTTTTGACATCACATGCACAGGTTTAGGGACAGACGGGTTAGTTTTGACATCACATGCACAGGTTTAGGGACAGACGGGTTAGTTTTGACATCACATGCACAGGTTTAGGGACAGACGGGTTAGTTTTGACATCACATGCACAGGTTTAGGGACAGACGGGTTAGTTTTGACATCACATGCACAGGTTTAGGGACAGACGGGTTAGTTTTGACATCACATGCACAGGTTTAGGGACAGACGGGTTAGTTTTGACATCACATGCACAGGTTTAGGGACAGACGGGTTAGTTTTGACATCACATGCACAGGTTTAGGGACAGACGGGTTAGTTTTGACATCACATGCACAGGTTTAGGGACAGACGGGTTAGTTTTGACATCACATGCACAGGTTTAGGGACAGACGGGTTAGTTTTGACATCACATGCACAGGTTTAGGGACAGACGGGTTAGTTTTGACATCACATGCACAGGTTTAGGGACAGACGGGTTAGTTTTGACATCACATGCACAGGTTTAGGGACAGACGGGTTAGTTTTGACATCACATGCACAGGTTTAGGGACAGACGGGTTAGTTTTGACATCACATGCACAGGTTTAGGGACAGACGGGTTAGTTTTGACATCACATGCACAGGTTTAGGGACAGACGGGTTAGTTTTGACATCACATGCACAGGTTTAGGGACAGACGGGTTAGTTTTGACATCACATGCACAGGTTTAGGGACAGACGGGTTAGTTTTGACATCACATGCACAGGTTTAGGGACAGACGGGTTAGTTTTGACATCACATGCACAGGTTTAGGGACAGACGGGTTAGTTTTGACATCACATGCACAGGTTTAGGGACAGACGGGTTAGTTTTGACATCACATGCACAGGTTTAGGGACAGACGGGTTAGTTTTGACATCACATGCACAGGTTTAGGGACAGACGGGTTAGTTTTGACATCACATGCACAGGTTTAGGGACAGACGGGTTAGTTTTGACATCACATGCACAGGTTTAGGGACAGACGGGTTAGTTTTGACATCACATGCACAGGTTTAGGGACAGACGGGTTAGTTTTGACATCACATGCACAGGTTTAGGGACAGACGGGTTAGTTTTGACATCACATGCACAGGTTTAGGGACAGACGGGTTAGTTTTGACATCACATGCACGGGTTTAGTGACTGACGGGTTAGTTTTGCCATCACATGCACAGGTTTAGTGACTGACGGGTTAGTTTTGACATCACATGCACAGGTTTTAAGACTGACAGGTTACCTTGTGCTGGTTAATGCTCCATATCCTGATGATGGAGTCTCGTCCGGCGGTGAAGAGCCGGTTAAGAGCTGGATCCAGCTGTAGTGCGTTGACTCCATTACGATTATATTTCTCCACCTCGTCTCTGATCACGTATGACACCTGCAACACACGCATTCTAAGAATTAGAGGTCCACTGATTAAATCGGCACAGAACCAGACACTGAAAAAATTGTTTGTTTTTTTTTAGTACAAAGTTTTTGTTCGTAATACTGTTCAGTTTATTTTAATCTCAAAATAGCCAAATTCGAATTAAATGTACTTTTATTTTCCACCTCGGTTATCATTATCTGCAAAATCAAATATCGGTCAACCTCTACTATGAATCAGACTTAAACCAAAGGAACCGATTAATAATTATTGTTATTTATTGGTCTCCTAAAAATACAACATGGTAAAAGTCATGTAAAAACTTTGAAACTTTTACTTGACTCATTTTCATTAAATATAAATAAAATACAGATTATCCGTTTCGGAAGAGCACAAAAAGCATACATTTGAATTTTTAGCAACTTTTGTGTCAAAAAGAAATATAGGCAAAAATTTGCATTCAATTTCATAAAAAAAAATATAAATATACTTTTCATAAAAACTAGGCCTAGAATAAATACAAGTATAAATGTGACTTCATGACACCAATTAATTCAAACACTTTTACTTAAAAGCAATGGAATATATTATGATTTTCATCCCATTAAAAAAAAAAAAAAGCTACATAAAAGACAAATCATTCAAGTTTTTTTTTTATTTTTTTTTATTTTTAAGTATGCTAGAAAGGCACCTTTATAGATATCTTCAGATGTCTCACAATTAAAGCAGCATTCACAACAACAGTGTTCAATACATCACACAAAATCAAAAAAGCTTAAACACACCTTCATGATAAAAACATACATAATGTGTACAGCATGCAGGCATTTACAGTACAGTTAGGCTTTATAAGTGCTCGTACTCCAATATAAATCTGTTTAGTTTGTATTGTGCTCCTATTTATCCGCTCATGTGTTTATATCATTATATATTCACTATGCATGTGCTTATAGGGATATGCATACATGACCATAACTGTTCAGCATGCTATGTGCATATATGGTCAGTATGCATATATATAAGAAAGGATGATTGTCATGACATCGACCAAAGATACGAGATGACCTTTTAAACCCTAAAAATGTGACCAAAACCGGTTCATCTGTCACTATGCAACCCATAACGTGCATCTAAACCTCGACACAGCCTGTTTATATTATAATGAGCTGCAGTAAGCAGTCCTTACAGACCTAGTATGCTGCATTCTTGGACACCTGACTCAAAACTGCAGTATGGTAGGCAGCACACTAGATTTTGAGACACAGCCTGGCCTCCACCTCGCTGTGCGCCACACAAACGCTCACATCCGCGATTGCAACAGCCGTCACACAACGACCAACGAGTCTGAATGCCACTATCATCACACAAATAACACACGCACATCACAAGCGTACTCGCAGGCGTGTAACATTCACCTGCACTTTCCTGCGCCCCGCTGCATTCTGCCTGTGGTGCGTCGCCATCTTACGTGTTGACGTCGTGATGTCACTTCCGTTACGCCACGAAGAGCCGAGGCGAGAACAGAATGAATGAATAAATAACTATAAATAAAGGCCAGAACACATATTCATAGCATTAGAGTCATAATATAGTATTTGCATATAGTTGTATTCATTTATTTAAAGAACAACAACAGGCTATTAACTTGGTGGCCGCTCACGCAGAACGCAAAGGAAATAAACAAGGTTTAAACACGGTTTATAAAGCTTTAAGAGCTTTTTATTAACACAGCTTTGGATAGTTTCCATGTCAACTCTGAATAAAGAACTTTTTTTTTGTTTTGATTATGTTTGTGAAATTTTATTAATTTTGCTATAGTCTCATTTGAGTTTAGTCAAACAATACAAATAGCTTTAAAACAACTGCTTACTTTTTAATTAGAGTTACTTTTTCAAATAAGTAACGCAAGTTATTTTTTTTCCCAATTTATTGATTGACAGCTCTGGTGTCGCCATGGTGACAGAAATCAGATGATGTTAAAATAAATATGAGTATGCATTAATTAATCTCACTCACACACACAGAAAACACACAGATTCAGTATTCCTCAAAATGAATAAAAATAATGCAACTCAGAATATGATGCAAACCTGCAATAATTAAAAGTTAAGCAACACAAATATGCTTTATGTATTTAATCCCATTCTATTAGCTTCTGAGCTTCGATGATCCAGTGTAACCGTACTAATAATCACAAATTACTCTCGACAAACATTTGTGTGTCTGTTTATTGCTGAAGTGTGTTGAAATGTCTTCTTCTGCATTCTACTGTACTTTCCCTTCAGCCTGAGGCTTATTCATTTCACTTTTGGTGTGAAAGGCTTTTATATTTGCCAAAAATATAACTTTTTTATATTAAAAACAAACAAGCAAACCCTGTCCAGATTTAAAACGTAACGCTAAAGTAACGTAACGCATTACTTTCCATAAAAAGTAACTAAGTAACGTAATTAGTTACTTTTTTATGGAGTAACGCAATATTGTAATGCATTACTTTTAAAA